GGCAAAAACGATGAGCTAACCCCTTGCCATTTTTTCAAAAAAGGGGCTGTTTTGGAAATTTTCTATATTTGCCCTAATATCCTTTTTGGGAACAAATGGGGGGTCATAATAATTCTAGGGCATAATGGGACTATCACGATGAGAAAACGGAGAGGATTGAAAATTTTCACTTTTTGGCAAAAACGATGAGCTAACCCTTTGCCATTTTTTCAAAAAAGGGGCTGTTTTGGAAATTTCCGATATTTGCCCTTATATCCTTTTTGGGAACAAATGGGGAGTCATAAGGATTCTAGGGCATAATGGGACTATCACGATGAGAAAACGGAGAGGATTGAAAATTTTCACTTTTTGGCAAAAACGATGAGCTAACCCCTTGCCATTTTTTCAAAAAAGGGGCTGTTTTGGAATTTTGAAATATTTGCCCTATTATCCTTTTTGGGAACAAACGGGGAGCCATAATGATTCTAGGGGATGTTGGGACTATCACAATGAGAAAACGGAGAGGATTGAAAATTTTCACTTTTTGGCAAAAAAGGGGCTGTTTTGGAAATTTTCTATATTTGCCCTAATATCCTTTTTGGGAACAAATGGGGATTCATAAGGATTCTAGGGCATAATGGGACTATCACGATGAGAAAACGGAGAGGATTGAAAATTTTCACTTTTTGGCAAAAAAAAGGGGCTGTTTTGGAAATTTTCTATATTTGCCCTAATATCCTTTTTGGGAACAAATGGGGAGTCATAATGATTCTAGGGCATAATGGGACTATCACGATGAGAAAACGGAGAGGATTGAAAATTTTCACTTTTTGGCAAAAACGATGAGCTAACCCCTTGCCATTTTTTCAAAAAAGGGGCTGTTTTGGAAATTTCCGATATTTGCCCTAATATCCTTTTTGGGAAGAAACGGAATCATAATGATTCTAGGGGATGTTGGGACTATCACGATGAGAAAACGGAGAGGATTGAAAATTTTCACTTTTTGGCAAAAACGATGAGCTAACCCCTTGCCATTTTTTCAAAAAAGGGGCTGTTTTGGAATTTTCTATATTTGCCCTAATATCCTTTTTGGGAACAAATGGGGAGTCATAAGTATTCTAGGGCATAATGGGACTATCACGATGAGAAAACGGAGAGGATTGAAAATTTTCACTTTTTGGCAAAAAAAAGGGGCTGTTTTGGAAATTTTCTATATTTGCCCTAATATCCTTTTTGGGAACAAATGGGGAGTCATAATGATTCTAGGGCATAATGAGACTATCACGATGAGAAAACGGAGAGAATTGAAAATTTTCACTTTTTTGCAAAAACGATGAGCTAACCCCTTTCCATTTTTTCAAAAAAGGGGCTGTTTTGGAAATTTTCTGTATTTGCCCTAATATCCTTTTTGGGAACGGGGAGTCATAATGATTCTAGGGCATGTTGGGACTATCACAATGAGAAAATGGAGAGGATTGAAAATTTTCACTTTTTGGCAAAAACGACGAGCTAACCCCTTGCCATTTTTTCAAAAGAGGGGCTGTTTTGGAAATTTCCGATATTTGCCCTAATATCCTTCTGGGAACAAACAGGGAGTCATAATGATTCTAGGGCATAATGGGACTATCACGATGAGAAAACGGAGAGGATTGAAAATTTTCACTTTTTTGCAAAAACGATGAGCTAACCCCTTGCCATTTTTTGAAAAAAGGGGCTGTTTTGGAAATTTTCTATATTTGCCCTAATATCCTTTTTGGGAACAAATGGGGAGTCATAAGGATTCTAGGGCATAATGGGACTATCACGATGAGAAAACGGAGAGAATTGAAAATTTTTTACTTTTTGGTAAAAACGATGAGCTAACCCTTTGCCATTTTTTCAAAAAAGGGGCTGTTTTGGAAATTTCCGATATTTGCCCTTATATCCTTTTTGGGAACAAATGGGGAGTCATAAGGATTCTAGGGCATAATGGGACTATCACGATGAGAAAACGGAGAGGATTGAAAATTTTCACTTTTTGGCAAAAACGATGAGCTAACCCCTTGCCATTTTTTCAAAAAAGGGGCTGTTTTGGAATTTTGAAATATTTGCCCTATTATCCTTTTTGGGAACAAACGGGGAGCCATAATGATTCTAGGGGATGTTGGGACTATCACAATGAGAAAACGGAGAGGATTGAAAATTTTCACTTTTTGGCAAAAAAGGGGCTGTTTTGGAAATTTTCTATATTTGCCCTAATATCCTTTTTGGGAACAAATGGGGATTCATAAGGATTCTAGGGCATAATGGGACTATCACGATGAGAAAACGGAGAGGATTGAAAATTTTCACTTTTTGGCAAAAAAAGGGGCTGTTTTGGAAATTTTCTATATTTGCCCTAATATCCTTTTTGGGAACAAATGGGGAGTCATAATGATTCTAGGGCATAATGGGACTATCACGATGAGAAAACGGAGAGGATTGAAAATTTTCACTTTTTGGCAAAAACGATGAGCTAACCCCTTGCCATTTTTTCAAAAAAGGGGCTGTTTTGGAAATTTCCGATATTTGCCCTAATATCCTTTTTGGGAAGAAACGGAATCATAATGATTCTAGGGGATGTTGGGACTATCACGATGAGAAAACGGAGAGAATTGAAAATTTTCACTTTTTTGCAAAAACGATGAGCTAACCCCTTTCCATTTTTTCAAAAAAGGGGCTGTTTTGGAAATTTTCTGTATTTGCCCTAATATCCTTTTTGGGAACGGGGAGTCATAATGATTCTAGGGCATGTTGGGACTATCACAATGAGAAAATGGAGAGGATTGAAAATTTTCACTTTTTGGCAAAAACGACGAGCTAACCCCTTGCCATTTTTTCAAAAGAGGGGCTGTTTTGGAAATTTCCGATATTTGCCCTAATATCCTTCTGGGAACAAACAGGGAGTCATAATGATTCTAGGGCATAATGGGACTATCACGATGAGAAAACGGAGAGGATTGAAAATTTTCACTTTTTTGCAAAAACGATGAGCTAACCCCTTGCCATTTTTTGAAAAAAGGGGCTGTTTTGGAAATTTTCTATATTTGCCCTAATATCCTTTTTGGGAACAAATGGGGAGTCATAAGGATTCTAGGGCATAATGGGACTATCACGATGAGAAAACGGAGAGAATTGAAAATTTTTTACTTTTTGGTAAAAACGATGAGCTAACCCCTTGCCATTTTTTCAAAAAAGGGGCTGTTTTGGAAATTTCCGATATTTGCCCTAATATCCTTTTTGGGAACAAATGGGGAGTCATAAGGATTCTAGGGCATAATGGGACTATCACGATGAGAAAACGGAGAGGATTGAAAATTTTCACTTTTTGGCAAAAACGATGAGCTAACCCCTTGCCATTTTTTCAAAAAAGGGGCTGTTTTGGAAATTTCCGATATTTGCCCTAATATCCTTTTTGGGAACAAACGGAATCATAATGATTCTAGGGGATGTTGGGACTATCACGATGAGAAAACGGAGAGGATTGAAAATTTTCACTTTTTGGCAAAAACGATGAGCTAACCCCTTGCCATTTTTTCAAAAAAGGGGCTGTTTTGGAATTTTGAAATATTTGCCCTATTATCCTTTTTGGGAACAAACGGGGAGCCATAATGATTCTAGGGCTTAATGGGACTATCACGATGAGAATACGGAGAGAATTGAAAATTTTCACTTTTTGGCAAAAACGATGCTCATGCTGCAATCATAATTATAAACCTTTAGGTCAGTCAGGAATTCCATGACTTTTACAAGCCAATCGCCTGTCTGATTATAAAGATATATCTGATTGGAAATTGAAATTCATTTTTTCAATTTTCGCAACCGTTTCGATAACACTACAGTCTACTATGGAAAATGAGTATAGTAAAACCGGTCCCTCAAAGACCTTCTGCTACCAGCATTTCTTAATCTCTTGAAAAGTGATGGTACGTACACCTTGCATGAAGTAGCATAGGTTCCTTTACATGCATGTAGCTTTTACCATAATTGTACCAGTGGAAATATTCAAGTTTGCATAACGGTACACAATAAAAAGCATGTTGTGTGCACTAAAAGATAATACAGCTCTATAGTGCAAGACATTTATAAAGCAGTTCCTATGGCTGCAACTTAACTAATGCTATCACATTTTCTATTCTTAAGTCATAAAACTACCGAGAAATTCGGGGGGTTCTTTTGCGGTCAACCCATTCCTAAAGAGTTTGCATGAGGAAAATCTTTTCATAAAAAATTTTCTCAGGAGTCTACCAAAGTCAAAGTTTCTGAACTTGTTGATGCAATTGTCATAAATACAGATATCTTCAGCAGATATTGGTATATATATTGTCCTGAAATATGTTAAAGCAAGCTGAGTTAAAGCTTGCACTAAGTCAAGAATAACACAATAATTTAGATCTGCAAAGCTCCTTTGAAAAACTAGACTTTAAATTCAACTTAAAATATTTGGACATTCTGTTTATCTGTATAGACCTTAGTAAATTATCAGGCCAAGCCTATATCCCAGTCACAGCAACAAAACTGACACTGAACATTAAATTTATCAGGAGTTGATGCATGCCAAACTCTCCCTGAGCAGAGCAGGGCCGTCATCAGACCATTGGAAATGGGGAGTAGTATCCCATTTGCTGGAAAATGACAGTTGTTGGATGTTCAAATTTGGTGACTGATGTTAAGAATTTTCACAATTTAAAAAAAAAAAAAATGTGAAGGAAAAAAAGGACCATCAGTTTTTTGAGATTTGTGGATGTACCTGCCCTGGAGTAGTCCCAAAGAAGGTTTTGTACTGATCTCTAATAAGTCCCATATATGACAAAATGTGTCCTGTGATTCCTGTGGAAGACCTTTACCGGTAATAGGAATATGTTAAAATTATCATTCCCTCACAAATCCTGGAACTGACTGGAGACCACCATAGGGCCAATAACACAGACAGTAAACCAATACGACCCAGAGATCGATTATTGAGAAGGCTGGGATTGATACGCATCGATTCAGCAGTGTGAACGGGGTATACAACCTTATCGTCTCACCTTGGAGCATCCTGGTGTGAAAGCCCCCGGCACAGCAAACAGCACCCCAGTCTTTCCCTTGAAGAGCTCTGCAACATTCACTTTATCTCCCGGCGTATTCTCACACACCTCTACGCTCGGTACGGGGTCCCCAGCCTGAAAGTTTAAAACATAAATGAATACACAGTCACATTTCTTTCTCCTCTGATTGGATATTTCACCTCCATCATCATTGATTCTTGACGCATAATAATACCAATATTTCATTTGATGCTGTTTGATTTCTTCAACATTCGCGGCTTCCTGTACTGTAAATTCCTTCCAACTTCACACAATAGGCCATTTTTGTAATGTAATCAAATTTATGCATGTGCCTTTGTGAAGCGCCTCAATACAAATTATTTCATTCACCTGTTACAAATGGTCAAGATTCAAATTGCATACATTAGTTGGCTTTGGGTAGGACAAACAACTATGACTTGCCCTACCTAACGAACACTTAATATATGCAATTTGCATTCTATTGAAATACATTATTGAGGCACTGAAGTATGAATTTGGTTACCTTACAAAACAGGCCTACATTAAAAAGCCAGAAGCCTGTGCCAAATTATTCACCCCAGCCAAAAGAAATTGTTAGGATTTTTTCAACACAACCATTGAGCAATGTCACCTGTTTAACTATATATGCGAGGAGCTTGCCAGGTATGCAAGCAATTGTTATTTCTATGCTGAAATTCTGTAACCATTCTTGTGTTTAAATATTTTGCATGATCCTCTGTTAACTATTATGTCCTCTACATACCTAGGTGAAAATGTTCAATGGGTGTGTTTTACACAATCCTTTAAATATTGTTTGGCTACTTTTGATAAAGCAATGCATTTTTTACATCTTTATAACTTCTAAATGAAAGGATCACTTGACACAAAAGTTGCACTACAAAAACTTACAATACCCAACATTGCACCTTCAAATCTGAACTGAATTCTTCTTCTTCTTCTTCAGTTACAGTACAGGCCACCGTTAGGTGTATACTTGTCATACTGTTAGATTGTATTACATCATATCATTAAGTTTACTTGTCCTTAAAGTCAACTATAAATCCAGTGGCGGATCCAGGGGGGGGGGTTGGGGGGGTTGCAACCCCCCCCTTGGGCGGCCCCCCCCCAAAAAAAAAAAAAAAAAAAGGGAAAAAAAAGAAAAAAAGAAAGAAAAAAAGAAAGAAAAAAGAACGCACGCTGGAGAGAAACCCTTTCAAGTGCAAATATTGTGAGAAGATATTCAACTCATCTGGTAACTTAACCAAACACATGATAACTCTGGATATAACTATGTATTAAACTGTTACTTGATTTAAAAAGACGTTATCATGCACTGCTTTTTATGGTCTCCATTGTGTTAATAGATGCCAGGAAAACATCACTTACGGGGTTCAAATAAACACCCCCAAAAAATCGGCTCGCCGCTTCGCGGCTCGTGGACGATGCTCTGCATCGTCATTATTTTGGTCAACCCCCCCCTTAGCAAAAAGCTAGATCCGCCCCTGAAATCAAGATTTGGGTTCAATAATTACATTAGTTTGATAGATCTACCTGCCCGACGTCTGTGACAGGAGGGCAGCTCTATCAAACTGTAGTGTTAGCTTGCTTAGGGACCCTTTCATTTTGTCCAAACAATTCAAATGGGCATAGAAAATTACCTGAGAAGGCTGAGATTATGGATTATTGATAATTTGTTGGTCATAATTTTTGTCCACAAGGCAACTACCTTGAAAACATTATATAAAGGGCATATAGCTCAAGGTCCCCCATCATACCGGTACTTATGAAGGGTTAGGAATTTGATTAGGATTGGAGAAAGCAGATTATTTAACAGGAGAAGAGTAGAGCCTATCCAAAAGTAGTTTCAGCATGATCAGGAAATAGCATTCCAATCATGAGCAGAAAAATACACAACCCTATTATTAGTTTCAGACATTCAGCAGGATAAGGATTAGAGCGAAGAACGAAAGAGACAGAAAATTCGGTCTAGATAAGGATAAGGTTTACAATAATTATTGAATAGGAAACTTAACTGTAAAGTGTTATGTTACTGTACTATTAACCAGCCAAATAATTACACAATGATCATGATGAAGTGAGACAGATTGGATTACCTTTTAGATCTAGATAGGATTATCAGATTAGGCTGGTATAATCCTATCTAGGGTCTAGAGGCCTAATTTAAGTACCTGTAAGTTGTAACAGTTAACTGTTAACTGACAGGAAGGCCTACACTGTACGTCCCACACATTGCCACACTCACACTCACAGTGATACAAAAAATGTATAAACACAAGATTTTTTAAAAATAAATTCCCAAGATGGTCCTCAAATTTAAAAACCATCACAATGGCAACAGAAACAGAAAGCAAGCTCTGTCACGAAAAACATTCGACAACAAGTTAAATCTAAATCTTCATACCTTGATGGGCATGTTTCTCGTTGAACCAGATGAAAAACTCCTTGAGCAAGTGACAAATGCAGCTCTTCGTAGGCTGTTGAACATGATTTATGTTTTACAAAGAGACCGGTGTGTTCGATCGTGTATGAGCTGTCGCCGCACTCTGCACATTAGTATGGCGGACGCTCGCGTGGTACCATGCTGATACCTACCTTGCAGGGGTTAAATCAACTCGGACAGTTTCATTCAAGTAATAGGTGTGCTGCCTGAATTAATTAGTATTTTTGTTTATAGAATTATGCTATTATCGATAGTTTTAACAAAGCACTGTATTAACTGAATAGTTTTATATTTTAGAAATTAGATGCTATGAAAGAATTTATCGTAATTGATGTGTCTTGATTGCGTAATAATAGTATAACCCCCTTACAAAAAATGGTAAATCCAGGTGACGCCTGGGAAATACCCTAATTCGATGACGTAGTTGACATTGACCTCGGCCTCGATCGTGTGTGTTTAATTGTGTTGTTTTTTGACAGACATTTATCAATCAGATATGATGATTTACGTCTTGGGACCATCCGAAAGATGTAAAAATGTTGTTCTTTTCAATTCATCATTTAACTTTTCTACTAAAAATTTGTAGATGAACCTGAAAAAGAAGAGAATCCGGTTATATGTTGTTTTATTTTGGTAAATGTAAGTATTATTATATAAATCAAGATATCCATAGCCGCACTCAGAATTAAAACTCTTTTCCCCCTTCTTTTAGAAGAAAGGCTTTTATTGTTCTTGTCATGTAGAAAACCAAGAGGAGAAAAAGGCAAATAAAGAAACAGGAGAAAAAGAGGGGGTTTTAAAGAGACATGAAGAAATATCAATATCAAAGGAGAATAACAATAATAATAGGAAAGAGGGTTTTTGATCGAGAATTAAGGGAAGATAAATATTACTATTCTGATCAACACATTATCAGGCCTACATGTAGAAATAATGTTAATAATTTTCATCTGAGGAATTATATATGTGTGATACTTCTATTTTGTCACAAATTGTTTTCTTATCAGCAATGTCCATTATATGTTCTGTATATATATTTATTACATAGAATTAATGTCTTTTTAACATTTTAGTAAAGTGAAATAACTTGAATTGCTGCAATCAAATTAATGCCCAATACTATTGACTGGAAATCTATAGTCTCAAACAAAGATGTTGGCTGTTTAATACATGGATACGACTGCACCCAAAGTTAAAAACAAATTAAACATTGATAAGACGTATAAAATTGTCTCACTTTATTTCATTATCATTTATTTTGATATTAATTTGCTACATATGATAGTGCAGCAAACATATGCCATCTCCATATTCTTAACACTAGAACATGTCGTCATAGAGAGAAAATGATATGAACAGAATACATTATTCATCAAAATAAAATTTGTATATGATTGCATGCTGATATCGCTTACATGTACATGTATCTGGAATCATCATATATTCATGATAAAGAATTTAAAAACTTTGAAAAGATGAATAAAAATCTATAACTGGCAATCATAACCTATAATTGTATCAATTGCTTCATGCTAATTTACTCTTTCTATTTATTTGATATATATGCTGCTAAATTACAAAACGCTTTGATGGAACTTATAGGAAATAAGGCACACTTTATACATATATCTTGGATATACATCTAAGCAAACGTAAACCACAAAAACACTTTTAACTTCTTGAATACAATTGTGAATTTTGAAATATTTCCTTTCATTAGTCTTAAGTATGAATGTCATGTCAGAGTCCATATGCATGACATGTATGTAAGATATTTATGAAATTAGATGAACAATTTCACTTCTATACCTGCATTTGAATGATAATTTAACTACATGTACCGGTATGTCACCTTATATACTTCAATTATTCCAGGGCCTTTGACCTTGTCATTAAGATTAAAACTTAACATAAAATCTTTTCAAGGAAAATAATCCAATGATATTTGTTTAATCAGTGTTAGGAGAATGACAAAAGAACAGAAGTATTTACTTATCTTTATCAAGCATTGTCATGGTATTCAGGAGCAAAACATGGACGGTACATTAATTAACAGACAGAGAGAAAACCTCTTAACATTACAAATCATGCTAATATCATGTTCTTTATATATTTTTTCTTCTAGTTCTATAACTAAACACTTCAACTTACGTAAACAAGTAAAATCTATATCATATATTAAACTACTGATATATAGCCTAGAAATGGCAAAATCTATATATTTAATTTTATACACAACTTGGTTGTATTATTAAACATACAGAATTTAAAAGTCCACATAACAAGACATTATCTTATGTATTATGAAATAAAATACAGGATAAAATTAAGAATATAAACAGAATTGGGAATGTTGCCTCAAGAGGACAAATCTTTTTCTACCCCTTTTTATTGGCATTTGCTAAGAAGGACAGGATTAGGAACAGTTTACAATATACAAAATAATTGTACCATTTAGAATCATCCACCAATAATTCAACATGAACAACAAGTTCTTAATATTTCAAATTTGAATAAGCCATGTGTGGCTAACATGGCTCCGTTATATTAAAGAATCCTTTTCTCACTGATAAACATGTACATTTTTGCAAATAAAAATAGTTTGCCATGTGTCCTTGTTCATTAAATATAGATAAAGAAGTCACAAATTAAAACAATTAATTTGAAATTATTGAGGCAAAATCTTGATAACTTGATCTTGCAGTTTCATGATTGACTGCAATATGCAAGTTAATAGCTAGCATATTAAATTTTGCATCATAAACAACATCAGGCATAATAATAGGGTCATATCTTTTAGACTTCACAGTTCTCATGATTCGTAGGCTTCTTTGTGTAACAATTATCATCACAATACAAGCAGCTTTGTGTTCACCTACTATTTAATACTTTATTTTTTTATGCATGGCAAGTTATATATCTTCATCATAAAATATTTTTCTGAGTACATTTAAGTTCATATTTTCGCTGAGTATAATGCATGATAACCATTATCATATAAAGTACTGAAATTCTGACAAATATGTCAAAATCAATAAAAAATACTCTTTTTAACGAAAAAGTATAAAACCAAAATATATTTTTCATATGAAATTAAAAACTCTTGCAAGTCTCAAAGTTGTTCAAATTCTAAAACTTGTACTGTCTTGGCAGTAATTCATAGTTGCATCATATACATGAATATATTGTATAACACCTTACATGCTCTGAATTGTAATCACTTGCCTGAAATCTGTTTGGTGTTATACAATTCCATTGCCTTAAATCACCTCAATAACTACACAACCAAAATTACACAGATGTCCAATATTGACATTCCCTGTTAAAACAATACTGAATTTGCAAATATATTGATCTCATCAATACTTGATCGATAATTCTTTAACTTTTGCTTTTGACATCGTAAACCATGTCTTACTGCATCAACTCTCTGCTATCTATCTACTTCAATAATTATCTAAGACCCAACACACACTACAACATTTCAATGTCCAATTAATATCACATTAAGACGATAAATTGGAAGCCCACAATTTCCTCATACAAAAATATTAAAATTCCTCTCTTTAAGCCAACAGGGTTCATTCTAAAGAGCCTTTCTCAATAATTAATCTATTTCTATATTGTATATACTTTTTACATATGATGAAGTGAATGGTATCTGTTCCCTTACGCAATGGCCTCAAACTTAATTCAAGCTGCGATGAAGTCATTCCCATTTTTGTACAGCCGGCATCTAGTGCTAGGGATAAATATAGCGATGATTTTCCCTTGTTGTCCCGGTTTAAGGTCACTAGGTACATGTATCTACTATTCACTGATGTCTAGAGAGCGTTCACAAACTATACCTTTGTTTAGCGTATGCATATTTGTCCAACATCTAACCAAGATGAATAGATTTTCATTGCACAACGATTCATTATTGTGTTTACAGGGTCTGTCTTTCTATCTTGTTATAATTAACTGGTCTAACAACACATGGTCTAGCAACAACTACTTAGCGATTAATACAATATACCAATATCTAGCACTCTACCTAACTGAAGACCCAACAGAAACCCAAACCATATCCCCACATCTCAGATGAAATAACTTTCGGAGTAACTGTCGCTGGAGAAAATGACACCCCTATGTAGTTTAGAAACTACACCTTTGTTTAGCAAATGCATATTGTCCAATTTTCAGTCAAGAATTGAAGATTTTCATTGAACAAAGATTAATTATAGTGTTTACAGGGTCTATCTTTCTATCTCGATTTATACTAAACTACTGCTCATAATCTGAGCACTACAGCCTCCACGAGGGATCCCTTGGGAATCATTTTCTGCTGGTCGCTCTGCGATGGCAGCGCCAGAAGGGCGTTAGCCTGAAGCATGCTGATCAGACGACTACTGATCTGGTTGCCTGTCGTCGAGGCCAGGGGCACGCCGTCTTCCGCGGACTGCCAGTCCAAATGCGCCCTCTGGAACTCAGGTCGGGGGTCAAGCTTTAGGTCAGCCATTACCTGTATAGAACAAGTGGAATGCCATGAGATTGATTTTTTGTATAAATATTAAATGGTATAGCTCACTGAGTAATAGCGAATGAGTACATGAAGCAGACAATCCATCAATCCACAAGTGATGAGGGGAACAAGGCTGTGTTACAGCTCAAATTCTACTAACAAACATGAAATGTGCAAGTACTCTACCGTATATAAAAGGAGGAGTAAATAACAAACATTTCAGAAGAATATTTTTTTTTCCCACATAAATGTGTGAAAATCATTAAAAAATAAAGTTCTGTTTCAATTTTTGCATTAAATGCCCATATTTAAAATGAGATCTTTAAGAACTATTTGAAAATTCTACAGCAATGGGAAACAATGTACATTCCCGACATTCTTGTTGAACAATCAAGGCATTGTAACTGACAAAGATGCTTATTTGAGATCATGGGAGAGATGTTATTCAGCCATACAATGCTCAGAGACTTACGCGGCATTTGATCCTCTTGAGATGAGGGTTGGTGTATCCCATCATCCTCCTCAGGCACGGTAAGACAAAGTGGTTAAAGGTCACGATACCTGATACAGGATTACCTACATGGACAGAGACATTAAACATTAAGATCTTTTAAAAAATGAACACAATTTTGTTCATTATTTTGGTAAGAATGTGTGAAATCAAATTTCACATCTGCAAACCAGTCAAGAGAAAGTTCGCAACCCTTGTTAAATGTTATCAAAGCTCAGCTTTATATTATTACAGCTAAATAATAGTATTTTTTTTTAAACCTCTCACTTGGGCACATAACCAAATAATGAACAAATATTTGTTCATCTTGAAAAGATATATTGTTATTATTTAAATTGATGTGTGAAGGAGGGTCGATCAAAAAATGAATTATATAGATATCCACATCCCTATAGGACTTGTATATCATGTTGAATGAAACATGACAATGTACTGATGTGAAGAATGATTAAAAATTTATAGTACATACATACAATTTTAATTGATCAAAAGGCATGGGTTGTTTTACTGCCAAAGAATCATTTTATTTATAAATGATCTAAACTTTGCCCCTACATCTTTTTTTCTTATAATAATACTTGTAGGATGAAACTAGAGGGTTTTTTTAAAGGACCAAATTGTTTTTTAGATTTTCTACTTCATTCTCAATTATAACGGACTGTTTTGTTCTAGTGGAAGTGAACATTGTTATTAAATGTAACATGTAGCTTTTCACTTTCATTTTCTTCAGACTTTTGACAGTAATAAAGAATTTGGTTGTATTGAGTTCTTGATCTATCAAATCCAACTTCAAAATGCCAACTACCAAGAGTTGTAATAAGATCCCAAAGTCACACACACTGAAGATGAGTCTTACCTGGGAGCGAGAAGAAGAGCTTCTTGGCACCCTCATATTCAAATGTGCAGAAGGTTGTAGGTTTCCTTCAGAGATTTAACAAAATATAAAAAAGGAAATGACAAAAAAATGCAGAAGCTTCTATATACATGAAGCAGTCAAACAAACCAATCACCATATTTGTGTTCTTATGCCTTCTTTAATAAACAAAAATGTCTGCAGTATTTACAAATACACTGTACTATTTTAGAGGTCTAAAACATTGACAGACAAAACCAAAATCAATCGAGACAATTACTGGATATTAATACACACAACTGCTAAGAATCTGGAAGATGATAAAACACTACAAATCTTTAAAACACAAGGATACCGTTGCTCTTTCTCAATTAGCCTGAAAAAAGATGACATGTTGGAGCCCATACATTCTGTATAAAGCCCGAAAACACCCTAAATCAGAAGGGTGACAGGGCATGAATTACGGCAGAAGCCTAAAAACGGGTATCTCTGAAAATAAATACAGAAGTATTAGAAATTTGAACTTCCAATTCATGATAACTTTAGCTTAATTGATACACTCAAACCGGCTTTATAGCGACCACCTGTCTATAAATACCACATTCTGTCTTTCCCTTGAAAATTGTTTTTCATTTAAACCTGTAATAAAGGGGCCTGTACATAAAGACCACTCTTCTTGTTTCTTTCTCTTGTGAGCAGTCTTAATATACACATTTCAATGGATATACAAAAATAATAGCATTTTTTATTCTCAGTTCTTGGCCACTTTGGCTTCTATGATACACTGTATTAATTCTTACCCCGGCTTGATGAATATCCGTCCAAAGTGAAGCGTAGCCTTGAGTTCTTCAGAGAGGACATACTTGAGCAGATCTTTCTCTCCCATGGACACTCCTCCAGTGGTAACGATCACATCAGACTGAGAAGCAGCCTTCAGGAGGACATCCTTGGTTGCTTGGACGCTGGAATGTCAGGGACAGGAGTGATGAAAGACATTCAGACTTTATTAGAACAAAGGTCCAGAATATAATCATATGTGTTCTCTAGTTTTAGCGCCTTGAGCATTTAATTAGAATGGATAATGGCAATATAAATCTCATGTATTATAATATTATTAATATTGGAGACTCATACAGTCAAATCTACTATTGTAACCTCAGACAGCATATGAATACTTTTCTACAAAGACATTTGTACATAACAAAAAGTATCATGAATGTATACGTATCAGGTGCAATGCCTACAATGAATGTATGTACATGTACATCCATCTCTAGCTTTATAACCAGCATATTGATGTTATCACTTTTACTTTTACACCCTTCCTTCACTTCATGGTCTTATTCTTTCACACTTTCACATCTCACGAGTGAGACCAGTGGCCCCAATAATGGTAGATCCGTTACTACCCCACTCTACAGTAGTACTCACATATCTGTGCAATTCCTTCATCGACTGTAAACATAGTCATCTCTAGCATAGCAGAGTAGTTAATAAGCATGGTGATCCTATCACTACTACACCCTCCCCTTGTTTGACGGTCCCATTCTTCTTGCTTTTAATCAAATTTCTACGACTAAAGCCCACCACCTAAATGGTTAAACCCACACTCGTAGTCGAGTGGTTAATGCACTTGACTTGAAATTCAAAAGGTCATGGTACGATCCCCGTCACGGCACTTATGTCCCCTGGCAAGGCATTTATCAACATTTGCCACACTCGACCCATGTGAGGTTAATGGGTACCTGGCAGGAATTTCTTCCTTGGGAGGGTAGAGCACTGTAATGGCAGCTACGCTAAAGTCGGGGTAATAATTAATTTGTGTGCCTTGGAATTGAATTGTCTAGATAGACGGCGCTATATAAATGCCTATTATTATTATTATTATTAAACCCACACCATGCTATTGTCAAAGAGTTCATATGAATACTCACGTATCAGGTGTAATTCCTACATCTACAGTAGGTACATTCATCTCTAGCAGGGTAGCCAGCATTGTGATTCTGTTACTGTCATAGATGTGCCCTGGAGGAAGCTCCTCTGAAGGCTCTGTCAACTGTACAATCAAGAGGTACAAATAGTACATTCAATATACATTCACTCAAAATTATATTATGCTCAAATTTCACTCATGCACATTTAATGCAAAGCAATAGTGATAGAGGCTTAAATGTAGCATTCCCTAGCATCATTAATCAATTTAGTAGGCATTGTGATCCTATTACTATCATACTCAAATTACATTCAAGATACATTCACTCAAAGTTACATTACCCACACATTTAATACAAAGTAATATGGGTATGAATGTAACAGGGCATGACTGATGCATTCCGTAGCAAGCGTAGTCTGCATAATGATCCTATTACTATCATAGTTGTGACTGAGAGGAGGTTTCTATGATGGCTCTGTCACCTATTCTGTTATGATATATAAAGGCACTCAAATTACATTCCAGTCAAAAGTTCAAGAGAGAGTCATATGGGTATGAAGGTAAGTGTACGCAGGATTCCAAACAGTGAACAACACCCACAGTGCTAATATCAAGCATGGGAGACTTAATTATCAAGAAGAAAAATACCCCCCCCCCCTTAAAAAAAGTCATAATCACATTAGTGTGGTCCTCCTAAATCTAGCCCCCCCCCCCCCCTCTGACATTTTAAAAGGCCATGATTCAAGACATTTGCATAAAACTGAAAGATCAAATTGATTTGTTGAAGGCAATCTAAAATAACATATATAAGACCACTGAAACCACTTACACTAACAACGTAACCTTGACAAATAAGAACTATCAAATAATAATACTAATGATAATAGGTAATTGTATAGCGCTCATGTCTGTCAGACTTGACACTCCTGGTGCTCCACAATATACTTGCCTCATTGCCTGTTGAGCAGACACCGACCACTGGTCGACGGTAACACTTGATCTTTGTGATTCCCACCGAGGCTAGGAGACCCAGCTCTGGTGGACTGAGTTTACTTCCAGGGCCGACCAGCATGGTCCCTTCCTGCAGGTCACTCCCAATAGGCCTAGAGTATTGAGAAACCATAGATCTCTATATCATGGATTCATAACTGGTATTTGTAGATGTAGCTACTTAGAAGCCATATTTCTACACCAATGATTTTTACTGATAGTCTCTTATGGAGGTCATTGCTAATAGGCTAAAAGGGAAACCATTGATCTTGATAACATCGATAGCTCACTGGCCTATGTCGCTGTGTCATTCTTATTATAAGGGGATGGATTCTATATCACTTAATTATATGTAATAGCATGTTACTTTGAATAGGGGAAGGGTATAGGAAAGATATACTATATATGTTGTAAATCAGGACTAAATGGATCTTTGACTGCATGCAGTCTAAAATGATGCCTCCACCATAGAGCGATTTTACAAACCAAAACAGAAGCAATTTTTGAAATTCAAGTTTGATTGTAATCCATTGACAGGTTCTCAGAATATTGTGATAACAAGCTTTTTTTCACTCCCATAGAGAATGTCTGTGGAGGGAGCTACTTAGAGCTCATGAATTGACCTTTGACCATGTACTTGTCACAACTATGCCTCTCAATATGCTATGATTGTACCCACCTGATATCTTGGCCTGGTGTAGGGGTAGACAGGATTTTGATAGAAACCTCCCTTCGACCCTGAGAAGGACAGATAGAGCAGAAAGCGCAATGGATGAGTGAATTATAAAGGAACAAGATATATTCTAGTACACTTTTTGTTCTTTTATCTGAAATAATAGCACACAGGCTACAGGTACATGTAGATTTTATTTAATGTTTACAGACACAGACTCCCCCCCCCCCCCTTCCCTCTCCTCCTCCCTCCTTCCAAATGGAAATTAAAGCCCCTGTTGCATTTTAAAATTTGTAGGCATGAAGAGAAAACATGAGAGCCCATCTGCAACAGACCCCAGACAGTCTTGAACCTAGATTTATATAGAATTTTTTTTTCCTCCAGATTTAATTGTAATACTTCAAATTGTTTCCTAAAATATGATGCTATATGATAAAACTGACAAAAAAATCCTAAGACAATACAGACTTTAAAAGAAGGAAATTACCATTGCAACATAAATTATTGTTTCCAGTCCATATACTTACATCATCAGCTTCTTCTACAAGTTCAGTATCTTCCACCTGCACCACAGCGTCAGCACCCTTGGGGATCGGAGCACCGGTAGTGATCCTGATCACATGACCTGGGATGAGCTCCAGGTCAGGTGCATCACCGGCGATGGCATCACTCATCACCTGACGTACCCCAGGACCGTCAGAAGCTAAGATGGAACATGGGATTCATTATGGAGTGAGATGAAAGACAGAGGTTAGGTTGAAAATGTACCCTTATCAATCTATCACAGAGTTTTAACAATGTTAAAGGAGCAAAAAGTAAACACAGACCTGAAATTACAAAGATAACTTCATATCACTGCTAGTATACGTTATACAAGCCAACTGTTACTTATTATTAAAGAAGGCTCAATATATCTACAAACACCTACATCAACATCTACAAACATCTACATCACAATCACTGACATCAACATTTACAAATGGTTAGAAATTATATTGTGATCACTTTTATTTTAGAAGTAGAAAAAACATTGGAATTCTTAATCATAATCAAATTTAAATGTGTCAAAATAAGCATATCATGAGATGAAATAAATACACTGTTCATCCATATATTCGCTAATTTATGCAATACAAATTCATGATAAATTCATTGTGTAGTAGTAGTCACTATGAATATGACTGACAAAGAAAGCGGACAAAATATACAGTTCCTCAGGTAGACAAAGGAACATCCCTTTACTGCTATTATGTAAAAATGTGTAGAACAGGTGTCACATGCATATTCACCTGTTCTACACATTTTTACATAATAGCAGTGAGGGGATGTTCCTTTGTCTACCTGAGGAACTGTATATTTTGTCCGCTTTCTTTGTCAGTCATATTCATGGTGAGTAGTAGTAGCAGTAGTAGCATAATATTCTCACCTAGAACAGCATAACCGTCTTTGATTGAGTTCCTAAACGGAGGCAGTGATATGGGAGCCTTGATCTCCTCAGCTACGATTCTAGCCAAAGCATCTATGTGAGAAAATGAGTGATTGCATTATTGCATTCATCAAGTATGAGTACATTTACATAATGGATTACATAAGAGATGAAAGAAAGAAATATATATGAAAGCTGATTATTGGCAAATTTCAGTGGAGTCCGATAATCATGCAAGTTCTACATTAGTGCACCCTTTCCACTTTATTCCTACCTTTCCCTCTTCTAATCTTTCTCTTATCCCTTTATATCACTCTCTCTAATGGATAATAGCTATCTTTCCTTTTTACCCATTTTTTTTACATCTCTATATTTAACCTTGATGTCCATAACATATGGTTGGAGGTCTGGAGTGTGGTCTGTCATCATCTTTAGGAAATCCCTTCCATTCCTATTTAACCTGTGCAAATTTTCTCTTACCTTCCTCTATATCTCTGTCCGTCTCTCTCACTATGTCTCTCTATAATGCACACACTCTCTCTCTCTCTCTCCTTCTCTCCCTATGTCTCTCTTTCTCTCTCCCCCCCCCCCTTTCTTCTCTCTCTCTCTCTCTCTCTCTCTTTCCTTCTCTTTCCATCCCTCTCCACACTTACCGTTAATATCCACCACCTCTGGTTGTAGTACCGGGGTGTGATCCATGACGATCTTGAGAGCATCCTTTAAAGGGATGACAGGGTAGATGGAATCTCTAGGACGCCTGGCAACCTTCTCAACGTCATGGTGACCTGATGGCATCAAGAAATTAGAAATAATAATAATATTCCGCTTTTATATAGCGCTTAATACATCTATGATGTCTCTTAGCGCTTTATAGATATACTATTACCCCGGTCATTGGATTCAATACTTGCCCGCACACACTGTGTGCACAATATCCACTCCCTGGGGAGTATTCTACCCAGGTGAATACTTGACGCTCAAAAAACTGTTTGACCTACAATGAAGGTCGCATCCTACCGGGTACTCATTTAACACCTGGGTGGAGAGTAGCAAGTGCTGGTTAATATCTTGCCAAAGGATATTAGTTCTGTGTCAATTAAACCTTTTCACTACATACAGTAGGCAGATTAAATCTCCTAACAATGTATAATATTTGTTGGAGAAAGAGATGCTTGTCTTTCTTATTGAATATGAAATTAACAACAGATTCGTGCCAATGGTGTTGGCATCAAGATGAACAATGACTCCAAAAACACAATGATTGAACAAATATTTCACAAGTTTTATTCATAACTACATAATGGTCTTGTTTTTCTCCAGCTTTTGAGGGAGTATTTCAAAGGAGAGCTACACTAACCAGACCCTGGATGTCTTGCTCTATTGTATTCTTGCGCAATATTGGCTTCATACGGAAATATCTGACTCGTTCGGCAACAGAGAAACTTGTTCACTCACTTATTTCTTCACGTTTGGATTTCGGCAACAGTTTACTCTATAATTTACCAAATTCACAAATTGCACAGTTACAAAAACTACAAAACGCAGCTGCATGCATCATTTCTCTGTCAAGCAAACATAGTCACATTACACCTATCTTACAAAATCTCCATTGGTTGCCTGTAAAAGAACGTATAATTTTCAAAATCCTTCTTTTAGTTCATCAGATCATGAACAGAACAGCTCCTGAATACAACCAGTCTTTAGTTCACCTCTACCAACCCACACGTACCCTCCGATCTTCCAACTCTGGTCTTCTACACATACCGCTTTCAAAGAAATCTTGAGGGGGAACGAGCTTTTGCTCATGCCGGACCAGCCCTGTGGAATTCACTTCCACAGGAGCTGAAGAACTCCAACTCTTCAACCTCTTTTAAGAGCAACCTTAAATCCCATTTGTTTAATTTTGCATTTTGAAGACAGACATTCACCTTTCATTTTTGTATTTTTTTTCTCATGTAAATGTACACGATTCTTTGTCATGATGTAATGTGTTCCTTAATATTTTGAAGCGCCTTGAGCATTTAATTAAAATGGATAATGCTATATAAATCTCATGTATTATATTATTAATATTATTCTGGCTCAGATCTGCCTACAAAATGCTGCAATATTATAATTCTTGCAAAATATAATGAAATGAAACTTCACCCCAAATAAACATGAATTCTACATGTGCCATTGTGGTGCTTCAAAGTCTTCATGTATTTCTGTGCTGTTGAATTATATTAGCCTTGGGTCATGTAATGTTTTGGGTAACAAAAGTCTGTTAGAATAATTAGACAAGTTATCAGACAATAGTTTTGAAAAATCAAAATTAAACATCTTGACCCCTCTCTAAAGAGGTGGAAGTAGTTGCTTCAAGAAATGCTATTCCAAAATTGAGTTCATTACCTAACTTCTCCAAAATCCAATGCATGAAAGTATTTGATTCAAGAGAAAATTTGTTATATTATATTTTTTTTCATAGATATTTTGGATCCTCTTTAGACAGAAAAAGCATTCTCCAGAGATTGAGGTTCATATTTTTGGATAAATAGAACTTTGTGTACGGGACTATTATTATTGACACAGAAAATGAGCAAATAAAACATAAATCAAACTTACGGATCTTCTGACAATTGTGATGTCCATGACTGACGGTTGGTAAATTCTAGAGAAAAGAAAAGATAATTTAACCAAGAATAGTGACTTGTAAATCATATTCAACAATGTTGCTAAATATAAAATCCTAAAGTTAGGAGCCAACGCGATTTGTGTCCCCCTCCCAATACACACAAACAGAAAATTAATTAATTAATAAATAAATATGGTAAGTCAGTTGCGGCAAGTGTAATGTCTGTTTAGTTAAATCAATATTTCTGATCAAAGAGATCATGAGTTGGTATACATTTTCATAATACATTGTGCTTCAAGTGAAAAAGACCTTTGGTGGACAGACGGAGGGGCAGGGGGCGGAGGTATGGGGAGGTTGGGGCATAGAGGATGTGCTGCCCTCTATCCCTTCCACAAGAGAAAAGGACGTTTGCATACCGTATTTCTAAGATTTGATATTCTCAGCTTATTACAGACCTATAGTTCAAGAACACTCGCATGAAAGAGTACCTGAATGAGATTATACACTATTAATTCAAAGTTTTAAAAAAATGTTTCTGATAGGATTCACACAAAAAGAAAATGTCTTAAAATTATTCTGAATCGTTTATCATCACTGTGCTGGAAATGGCTTGTCAGGACAAGAAAAATATAAACAAAGATTTTTGATTTTTGATTACATGCCACTCTAATTCACACATACAAGGCCGTTTGTTATGATGTACGTTTTAATTTGTGTTTGCTGAAGGTATATTTGAATCTGATTCATACATTTCATTTCCAGAAACTAAGGATTATTTTTGTAATGATTTTTGAGAAAAAAGTAAATATGTATAGAGATCTTACAATATTAAATACTCCTTACTAGCAGGCACGTGCAGAGTGATTTACAAATGCATTTATACAACAAAAATGACTGACAACAATACATAAAATTGCAAAACTGTATATTTTATTAATAGATATTTCATTGACATTCAAGAAATCAGAAATTCATGCAAAAATAAACTCTACAGGGATTATAGATCTAAGAGGGGTTTATGACATTTATTCCCACTTTAATTGAATTGAATTAAACGTGGCAGTATATCAATCAAATTTGTAATAGTCAGTAAGTATTAAAAGTGTGCACAATTAGGATAAGTTCTCATATGAAAGTAATAATAATATTGGATATTTGTATAGCTCTCATATCCACCACAAAAGGTGCTCAAGGCATTACCCTGGCTATACTTAGGCTACCAGTTTTGGTGTTCACACCATTCTAAGAATTCCTTCCTACCGGTCCTGATTAAACACCCATGGGTGGAGTTGTGGAGAGTGGCAAATGCAGAATAACGTTTGGCTAAAGGGCATTATACAACTCACTCCCAGACCCTAATCAAATGATTGGTCATGCTCGGTCACGTGTGATTCATTTACTGAGACTACACACATTTTTTCATGAAAAAGCGTGCAATAGTTTCCATACTATCACACGTTTTTTTAGTGCATGTACATGATACGCAGTAGTGCGCGTAGAGGTAAGAGCGCTTAATACAGTGTGTGCATGGGCCTATTCTTGAACAGATTTATTTGTCAGCCATACTGTCACAAAACAATCTTGAATGAATTCTTTTTACATCAAATAACAAGGATCTAGGAGTTTCGTTGTATATAAAAAATGATGCATGTTTTCATTCGTTCATTATACGATCTATCCGCCCTCGTTGATGGTGTGTGTATCTATCGCACTCAGCCTAACAGCTTTGTGCGATAGATACACACAGCCTCAACTCGAGTGCGAATAGATCATAGAATGAACTCATGCGCATGCATCATTTGTATACTAGCGCTGCCCTGGGGTTCGAACCCACGACCTTTAATCTCCAGTCAGAAGCTTAGACTACTTGACTATGACACCTGCATATAACATGGTCATCATTTTTAATCTAAATGTAATCAAAACAATATTTTGTTTCACTTGGTTTTGTTTTAATTGATTCGTCTTGATTGGAAAGAGTATGAAAATGTTAATTGTTTAGTAGATGTTAGAAATTCAGAATACATGCCGCTGTTGATAATTGGATGTCATACCAGACATGTACATGTGATAGGAAGATTGATTTCAATAACATTATTTTGTTCATGCAATTACAAGTAGTTAATTACACAATAATTACAGACATCTTGATTATTTCTTTTATTCGAGATGATTCATATCACATTGTTTCCTGTTGATAATCTTGGCAGAATGTAAGAATGGCCACCATAATGTAATGTAAATCCAGAAAATTTCATGACTGCATGAAGCTTTCGTGAATTGCTAAGAATTACTTTTTTTGTAGCAAGAATCTTTTGGAAATTGTAAAAATTTAGTGTTATGACAGTTGTGATTCAGTTGCTTCACAACATGAAACACTTTCACCAATCTAAACCACCACCTGTGAACTTCAAAAACATGTTAAATTTAAATACATTTAAATGATAATTTCTCATTTTGCAGCAGCTCAATATCACAAAACACTTATCTGCCATGCAAGCATGATATCCCAGGAACCTTATCATTCTTCGGAAGGCAATTTGATCAAAACTTTCTACTATATTGATGGTAGAAGTGTAACTGTTCACTGCATGTCGGGTTACGACCAGAATCTGTTCATTTATATACCCTGTATGTATTTATAATGTTATGTGTAATATTATAGTCCATTGTGATCTATTGTCTGAACAAATCAGCCAGTTTGGCTTTTCAGTAAATGTGCAGATCAAAAGCATTGGCACAAGAAGAGTGAGAAAAACAGTAAAAAATAAAATAGGAGAATGAGGTTTTTAAGAAGGCCGATGTCATGATTCAGCCTCATCATCTATCTCCTCCTCCTCCTCTTCCTCTTGAACGTGGCTTCTTCTCTTTGTCTTAAGGTGTCTGCTGTTATACAACAAATGAGTCAATCTCCTCTTAGTGGGAGCTATCCCTTTAAGTTCTGGGTCCTCCATCAGTTTCTGGTGGATCTCATCCAAACTATCTCCCTTCTGGCAGTGAGACACGATCAAGTCCGTAACGTCCACACCGTGACGGAGCTTATCCTTGGGCGGAGGGGTCCAGATGACCGCGTCCTTGGGGTCAACGTGCTGTCCAGTGATGGTCACTACCCAGTGGTCAAGGTCTCCAAGGTAGAGTTTGAGGTTGACCAGGACGGAGCAGTTGTGACGGTCTTGTTTGTGGGAAACTCCTGGGCAACCTGGAGGTAAGCAAGATCAGAGCGGAAATGTGTTTGCATGGTGGGCATGTGGGGGGAAAGAAAAATGGCTCCTTATGGGGAATGACTCGAAACTCTAAAAATGATTTACAATTTCTGATCATCAAATTGGATTAAGTCTCTTATGAGGTCAAATGCATCTTGTTGGGTCAGGGTAAATATCTTACATTATCCAGACAAACAACTTTAAATTATCTTAATACAATAAAAATCAAGACGATTTGTTCATTTTAATTCGATCATGCATGGTTTATTACTATCAACCCCTTGGAATTAGCATATATTCATAACATATTTATAATGTAAGATAATTCGTAACAATCTTTCGTGCTTCTATTTATTATAACTCAGTTTTAGATTATAACTCAGAACCTTTTCAAACTAGCAAGGAGATTAAGTTTTGCAAAAATATTTTTGCAATAGTATTCCTTATTCCATCCAAAATTTTAATATGAACATTTTCATAATACTCAATTTGGTAGTCGGCATGCTAGGCAATCTTTACATTTAATGCAAGATTACAAATTCTATCCTTAAAAAAAATAAAATGGTAGAAATTTCTCACCTTCGACACATGCGCCATATCCGCCACACTTCCTATGACACTTCCCATGTCCAGGACACCACAGGTACCATGCTACCACGTACTCGTCCCTCCGCTTATTCTTCTTGATCAGTTCTTGTTCCTTCCTCCCTTTATCAGTGGGTGCAAACAAATCATCGACCCTGTTCCTCTCCTGCACCTGCTCTCCTCGCTTCCAGATACCCGTATCAACCTCCTGGTCCCCTCTTTGTCGCGTCACGAGGTGGCGCTTCACGTTGCGCTTGCCCCGTGAAAGGGTGATGTCCGTCAGCAGCGCACACGTCCTCAAGAAGGTGTTCAGGGGCTTACCAGCTTGGATTTTATGAACCATTGCTTCAGGCTTGGTCTTCTTGGAAGTGGCCTTCTTAGTCGGCTTCTTCTGCTTTGGGGCTTTGCCAAAGGGCCGCGAAAGAACAATGACCCTCCGTTGTTTCTTTGGTGATTCCCTGTTACCCTCGGTGTCCTCGGGATCGAACTGGAAGACTCCCAGGTCAGGTTCACGAGAGGAGCGTGTCTCAGATGCGTACAACGGTTTACGCACAACATCTCCTCTAATGGCACTCATATCAATAGTGGTGATAGGAGATAAATGCCTAGTTCTTGTGAAGGATGCATCCTCTTCACTGCTTTTGTTTTGTTCATCATCATCATCACCATCATCTTTATTCTCCAACAAAGACCATCCCTCGTCACCACTCTCTTCATCATCACTGTCATCCACCCTCTCGATTGTCCTCTTAATAGGTGACCCAGATGTTCTTCGGATGATCATCACTCTAGGTTTGGTGTAAGGTGTAGGGGATTTCCCTTGCTCGCTGTTGACCTCCTCCTCACTCTCAGGGTTACTCTCATCGTTAACACGACTTTCAGGACTTTCGACATCATCATCGTCGTCGTCGTCCTTGTCATCGATGTGCTTCAGGCTGCTCATGATAACGTCCATATTGACAGGGTTTGTCATGCTCGATGGTGACACTGCCTCCATTTCACTATCCTCCACCTCCTCATCCTCCACATCATCCTTCCCTTCCTCCATCTCTTCCTCCACCTCTCTCTCATTTTCTTTTCTCTCTGCATCCAGTCCATCACTGACGGGACTTGATTCGAGCCTCGGGCTTGCATTGCCCTGGTGTGCATGATCCGCCGGAGATCTACCTCTCTCTGGTGATGAGTGATGGTCTTCAAGGTTATCCTGATCATGCCATGTCTCTGCCGACACCACAGCCTCACTTTCATCACTGGGTAAAGGGCTGGTTGTTCTTGGCCGTTTGTGTTTCCTCTTTTTCTTCTTCTTCTTCTTCTTCTTCAATCTGTGAGCAGCCTGAACATACACATAAAGAAAGTTTCCTTGAAAGTTCTTTGTTGGAAATGGAACTCTCCACGCATTTCTTCCACATCTTTTTGCCACTTCTAGCCTGATGAGAATCCACAGTTTGTCTAAGAACCAGTGTAATTTTGTTGTTCCATAAGAGATTACGAGGATGAAGATATTATGTATGATGTGCCAAAATGGATGTATTTATTAGTCACACAATGGCTAAGTAAGGTATCATATAAATGAATTTCAAATATGAATGAATTTAAGACACATTTCATGTCTTCTGAGAATTTTTATTTGTTTACGCTTTAGGGTTTTCTTTTTCGTCTACAAAGATACAAAGCAAGTTATGTAAATGACACTATGCCTGGACATCCTAATCTCACATCAACAGCAAAGAGAAAAATTGTCAAGAGAAAACAAGAAGAGCAGTTATTATACAATATGAATAGCTGATAAGCAGTGCAACAGCCATTCCTTTAATTCGCTCTTATTTTGATGACGTTTGATGACATTTATTGCCTGAATATGATAATCAACCCCTCTAACAAGACGAGATTGCTAACTGAGGAATATCGAATCATGCGAATCAAGACGCCTAATAAACTAGGCAAATCTACAATCTCTAAATCAACAATGTCATATGCACTTGTTCCTAGATCATAATTTTTTTTCACTACCGATATATGTAGAGGATATTGAATGAATGCAAAGAGTGTAATTTGTTTACAAAAATGAAATAAATATGTGCTTTGCATTGACCACTCTGGCATTGACATTAATTATAATCTAATCATTATTAATCATCGTTTTAATTTGCAGTGCACAGATGATTGTTGCTGTTACTGACAATTAGATTATTAATATTTATATTATAATTAGTCGGTTTGACAGGACAGCATTATTTTCAACAAAAAGTCTGAAATCTGGGCTCATGCATCCCTCTTCAAAACCTTCAATATTAAACAGCACTAACACATGCTTTCCAAACTAAAATTAAAGTAAATCCACACATTAGTGTAAATTCATGCCTTGCAAGTTGAAAACAAAAATTATCATCCCTTTTAAAGGGAGGTGGGGCTTCAGATGTTAAATTCAAACCAATACAAAATTCAAACAATTTTCAACTGTTATCCCTATACTATAGACCACTAGATATCTTTCCTTTTGTTATGGTCTGATTCTGTTGTTACAGTTTGTTTGTTTTCTTCACTAATCCCTACCCCCATATGCTCTACAAATGTTTGCATGTATTTTATTTTGTATGATGATTGAGAAGAAACAAACATGAAGCTGATTGTCCAAAGAGACAAAAATATGAAGTCAAGAAAATTATGGGCATTTTTCTATGATGATTGAAATAAACAATTTTGAAGTTCGTTTATATATCCCAAATCAGTCCCCAAAATGACTTATTTCCCTCAAACACTCACTGAAACCATGTTGATAGGCTGTGGTCCTGGCAGTGGTCCTGGCTGTGGTCCTGGCTGTGGTCCTGACGCAGCCAGTTCTTTATGAGTCGCTTTGACGCAGGCTCGTTCTCCCTTCAGCAGCTGAATAGCATGGCTGAGAGAAGGCTGGACAAAGCCAAAACATTCCTGCAAAACAAACAATTTTTGAAAGATACAGGGTTACTTTAAGGCAAGATACTCTTATTCCATCAATGTAAAACGTATTTGCACATAAAACACTACATGTCATTGTATTTTCCTGCATGATATAAGTTCATCTTTGCATACATCAAAAATCTACCCAGGTTCTCTTTCATTTTCTTTTAGGGCTTTTTATTTTTGCAACTATATTTCCCTCTTCTTTCTGGCTCTTTCTCTCCCCCCCCCCCCCCTCTCTCTCTCTCTCTCTTTCTCTCTCTCTCTTGCTCTCTTTCTCTCTCTATCTCTCCCTCCCTCTCTCTTTCTCTCCTTCAAGGCTCTCCATGGGTTTCTCCTGTCTTTTTAAAAATAAATCTTACCTTCTCCTTCTCCGTCTCTTCCTACCACACTCCCTGTGTTTCTCTATCCCTCCCTCCCTTCCTCATCCTCTTTCAATCATTTCTCTCTCCCTTCCTCCCTCCCTCTCACCCAATCCCACCCCCTCTTGTACCCTCTTTATTTCTTTCTTTCACCCTTCATCTTCCTACCTGTGAACCTTTAAGACTGCCTGGTAGATTGACAATCAGTGTCCTCTTCCTGATTCCACAAACAGACCTAACATTCATCATGGAATAAGATATACAATTTGTTAGTCTGGGTTTGAAAAAAAGAAGTCAATTCTATATCTTTATTCATATAATGAATAATTACATATTCAAATGTTACCGTAATGATCACTTTGCAAATCTTTAAAATGTCTTTAAATAGTAAAATACTATCTTTGGTGAAGGAGCAATAAATCTGTTTTTATTATTGTTATCTGTATCTCGTACCATTACTTTCACTTTGGCAGAGCTGCCATACATTGCCCTAAAGGGACTTCTCCCTACAAGGTACCTGTCTACTCTACTTGGGTCAAGAGAAACAATTTGAGATAAAATGCCTCGCCCATGCCTACAAACCTAGTGTCATCAATTTTCTCAAGTGTCACAAATATAAGTTCGTAGATCTTGATTGGACAGTTAAAGGGGGTGTAGCATGACGAGACTATGTGTCTTTCCTGTGGCCTGACTCGGGGCGATTCGGGTATAATACGACTATGGACGACGAGACTTCAGTATTCACATACGTGAACGCTAGCGCACTGACCGTTAATCAAGTCCATTCGTTTACGTGCAGTTGTCCAAAAGAAGTCATAGATGCCGTTAACCAGTATGTATTTGCCATGCCACACCCCCTTTAATGTTTTTAATTCATTAAAATGTGACATACTAAAACCTCAATAAGTCATTTTATACCATTAAGTCACTTAAGTGTGAAATAGGTACATGTTAGTCAGGATACCTTGATAAGACAGCTAATGGTGTGATCTTGAGGGATCCCATGAGCATGACCATCGCCAGCCCCGGAGCTTCTTTCTCCAACACTGACTTTGTGGCCTGTAGCAAAACAACAATGTGTCAATGATAAAACATACATACAAAAAGCAAAGATGAATGAGCAACTGTGAGGAAAGAGAGATTGATATTAAAAAATTAAGAAATTTAATTTGTTCTAAAAATGTATTGGTCCTTTCTCATTGTTTCTCTTTTTGACTTGTGCAGAAACATTGACTTTTGTCACAAGTATTGTACAAAGTCCAACATTTCATATTACAGAGTAAACATTACAAGTCATAATACATACCGGTAATGATAATCTGGGATTATAGAAATCAACTAGGCTTTAAAGAATTATTACCCAAGTCATCAAATTCACTCACTGCCACACATAAAAATTAAAAAACACATGCAGGTATTCAAACCCAAACATCTTTGAAGTATGGGTATAATCTTTAATACCTTCGGCAATTCATTTACCTCAGCTGAATTGTTATTCATATTTATTACTTTTTTTGTTTTGTTATGTAAAACAAAGGATTATGTTGTTTTTTATGGAGATGTGGAAATAAATCAATTCGATTCAAAATGAACTTCATTTTTTTGCATGTATAATTACAAAACTAATCTATTTCCTTTTCCTGTTTTCCAATGATATCTGAAGCCCACACGCCTGGCTGGAATGCTCCCCAGGAGTGGAGATGTTGCACAGTGTGTGCGTGCAAGCACTGAATCCAATGACCGGGGTAATAGTATATCTGTAAAGCGCTTAGAGACATTTGTATTAAGCCCTATATAGGCAGAATATTATTATTGTTATTATTATCACGAGTCTTACCTCTGGTGTGACATCCCTATCAGCGAATCCTGTACCACCCGTGGTCAGAATGAGATCAAGCTCCTTCACATCACTCCATTCTAACAGAGTCTCCTGTCAAGGTTTTAATGGGATACACAAATCAAGAATGAAATAGAAGTAACTATTCTACAAATCAAATGTAGGATAAGAATCAACGTTGTGCTATATGACAATGTAATGGGAACCCAAATATGGAGAGGTTGCTGACTTGTACATTTTTGCCGAGGAAGAGCATGCATGTACGTGATGTGTATTTGCGCTCATTAACAATATTAAGCTCTTAAATTTATTGTAAAAACACATCAAGCAAAGCAGCTTGCAGGCTGAAAATGTTCAATTTACAAAAAAAAATAGAATATAGACTACAGAGAAATATAAACATATAAAAACAAAAATACATATTGTGAGTCATTTTTGCAGAAATTATACAGCATTGGTAAGATGAAATCGAAATTGTAAATCAAAGTTATTTCTTTAATGTAGTAATACACTTTTATATTGAAAGACTAGACCTAGACGGTTTAAAGGAGAGAATGGAGAAGAAAAAAATTGGAAATTGTTTTAGCGAAAGAGTTCAGAAAGTATTTAACAGAAGTGCAAGCCAATGCTACAATGAAAGTTATACATTACTCTCCTTGCCTATGCATATATTTAGCCAGTCAATTAAGGATTTTTAAAATAAATATATGTAAACTACTGTCAAGACAGGTTTGTTCTTATTATTTATAGGCAAAATTGATACTACGGTATTCATTGATACATCACATTTTGAGAACTATGTTCTTCTTTCTTCACATGTCACAGGCTTGACATGTCATATTTACAGCAAATCAATTTTTAACATCCTGACAAAGTTTCCTTCATTTTGCTATAGATTACGCATTTCATTTCTTTGCATTCTTATTCATTGAAGTTGTTACTTCAAAATGTGTCATTCTTAGTTCTTACCTTGATATTTGAGATTTCATCTGGAACAATTCCTGTGGCTACAATTACACCATCAAGTCTGTTGAATGTGATAAAAGTGAGATTGCATAACAATATTGATAAATCAAATAAATATAAAATGCTCACAAAAAAGTTTGGAAACTCAAGTTTGATCAATTATATCTCTTGTCATGGGATAATTTTCGCTTTATTTAGTACCATTAGAAAGTATGTTTATTCTTCTTTTAAAGTGATATTTGTTGCAGGCATGGAATGAACAGTACATCAGATTAAGGGGCAGGGTCAAAAGTGAAAAGATGCAACAACATCAGATAAGTGCACCACTCAGCAGTTTTACACTCTTCAAAGAAAGAAGAATGCACAGCTGAACATGAGCAGTACATTTTGCAACTTTTCACTTTTTACCTTGCCTCTTGTTTCGATGCAATGCACATTCCATGACTGAAAAATAATATCAAATGGGCTATCATTTTAAAGAGGAATAAACACTCTTTCTATTGATAATATACATAGCGATGATTTAGCCATAATAACAAATAAATAATCAACCAAACTTGAGTTTCAAGAAAAAATATTGAAGGGCTTAGTATAAGTAAGAATAAAAGCAAACTGTATGCATTTTATTCTGACTAGTGCACTACAAAAAGTGTGGTATTTGCTCAAAGTCTGTTCTCCAATTTTGTGAAACTAATCATCTCAATATGAATCACCACATTTTAGCTTGTTGTGAAGTTATTGATTTGTTGACAGTAACAAGCAAATATTACATTTGTAGTTATACTATATGAGAAAATTATTAATTCATGTACATCACTAATTTCACAACTCACTTTTCAATGGTATTACTTTTTTCTTCAAAAAGGATCAAACCATACCGTATCAATATACATTATCATAATAATAATGTAATCACAATTATCACACACTTAAATGCTGCCATACTACAAAGTTTGAAGATTAAACATACATCAATATATCACTTGGAATTACACAGCGATGTGAAATTAGTAATATAAATGTACCCGACATTAGAGGCAATTCCATATCTACTACACCTTTAAAAGCCTTGAAAATATCCATAAACTTTATAACCGATTTACGTACCGTATCAATATATTCTTGTATTGTGTGATTGTGATATAAATAATCTCTCCTCAAATACTTATATCGTTCAATATGTAGTCCAATGTATTTTGCCCAATAAGTTACCAACAGCATATTTGACTTCAGGTTATCTGATAGTTCTATCAAGAATATAGCCATACCATAGCTTGGATCAGATAAAATATAAATCAAGGAAACAATGCTGTCTGTACCAACTTTTGTTCAGTTTTTATTACTATTATTAAGATACGGGACAGAAAATAACCAAATACCCCAAATCATCCTAAATAGCAAAGGAATAAATGGATCTACTGTTAATGTGTATATGATCAAAAATAAAAATTGGACCCTCATTGTTTTTAATTACAAAGCATTCACATGGTAACATTCAATTAAGCTACTTTTAATATGTCAAATCTAAAATGTCTTACCCATCCGTATCTTCAGCTAACTTCTTCAAGTTTGGACCACTTTTGTCCACAGCTTCCTTTCTTGAGCAAGTATCGCTTACTGAAACAGACCAGATAAACCACTTTATTATTTATGTTTATAAATGTAAAACGTATATATCACAAAAAAGGAGAAACAAAGAAGGAGAAACAAAGAAGGTTAAACAAATATGATTACAACTAGACTATAGACTGAAATGTAAAGAACAAATTAAACATTGATTTAGGAAATGAACAAGCTGTCATAAGTTGAAGTAAATATTTCTGTTTTAATTATTTTTTACAATAAGATGGAGTGTAATATTGCAGCCAAAGTGGATATATGAAGACGTAAAGAGTGAAGAATCTCCTAGCATATTTCATTCATCTCTGCCCAGTCCGGCTAAACTGACCCATTCCTTCCACACACTATCCCATACGATGTACTTCAGTCTATGTATACAGGCGGTCAGAGGAGCCAGATGTAATCTCAGCAGATATCAGATATCAGGGACTAAAGCTTTCGGTCTAGGTGTTTACTCACCAATAAGTATTTTATTTGTAAGTAGCCTACCGGTAGACAATTTTACACCATTTTGACATTTGTTGTCTGCACCATCAACTGCTGTCACTACATCCCAGTTTAGCTTTAAAAAGCTGTTAGGGATTATCTAATCAAGATTCATGATTTAAAGTTTCAATGTGTAAAACGAATTAAACAATAGAAAATATAAGCAAGACTTTTTTTTATAATCTTCATTTTTCTCTCTCTTTTCAAATTATTGCCCAAATTTGATGCAATTTCTAACATTAAACATTTCTATACATATTTCATTGAAATAAATAGATAGACGTAGCGAAACTCATTTAGTAATCGAAAATATTCTCCGAATAATTTCTAGACAAAAACAATTGAATTTCATTTCCACAAGCAGAGCCCACTTCACACAAATTATTGAGCAGGTGGGACTAAAGAGGAGAAAAGCGTTTAGTGCCTGCGAATATTGGTGCACTGCAGCTAATCTGCATCGTGAAAAGTAATGGAAAAGTGGAAAATGAACTCACCTGTTAGAATACCAACTCTTATTGTGTTTCGTTTAGTTGACGCCATTTCTTTGACTTTATAATTCGGCAAGATATGCACCTTGCATACCGCATAAACACGACCTTTTATGGCGAGCACCCGTGCGCGAAGGACAGAATTAATTTTCAACACTACCTTGTGGACCGCGCTCTTTGGCACAGTCGTGCCTGGTGATGTGATTTTCCTAGGGCACTTTATCAGTATCCCCAAGGCCAAACCATTATTTGACACACCCCTTAAATTACCAGCACGATGCATGAATATCTAACCAAGGAGTTCCTTGATCTAACTTTAAGAAGTAAAAATGAAAGTGACAGGGTATGGGTCGGCGCACATGTGGGGGGAGGGGGTGGGTGGGGCGGGGTAAGGGGCAGGGGCAGTTACAAGTTCTGGAAGAAAAAAAGGATTCTCTTTGGTAAACCTGATTTGGTTTAATGGGCCTTGGCCAAATTGGGCCGGGTCTATGATGAATATTGGGCCGGGTCTATGATGAATATGTGTTTGAAGCAGCTGAGAAAATAATGAAATATAGTGAGCACTCTCTTAACTGACAATTAACAACAAAAACAAACTCAAGATTCAATTCTTTAAAAGTAGAATCACACTTTTTGTTTGTCAGTAAATCCGCCCCCATTTAATTTGCCCACTGATGACCCCCCCCCCCCCCCCCATAACAAGAAATGAATACTGCTATATAATTCAAATCCCACACGTGCTGGAAGGCTGACCAATTTCGGTCGTGATTAGTCCCTGTGACAACTTTTTAACGCCGAAGTCGGTATATAATTATATATGCATCGATCTTGAATTAATTGGAAACAGCTAGCCTACATACGTAATTATCTAGCATCTAATTACAAAAATATGGCGGCGTCACTATCATCTTCTGCCTAAAGCCTATCGCCCTCACTGATTCTGTCAAATTCAAAATTGCCCTGAAGTCACCCCCCCCCCACCCCCATCTACAAAACAATCCACCCTATCCGCACATCCAGTTAAAACTCAGACGAGTATTGTGGAGGAACAACCAAGTCGGAACCAAGTACAAAGTACACTTATTGCCGTGATTATAGGCTCTATCGCTAGGTTTATATTCATAAACCTGATGCGAGAGAGCAAAGTGAGCAAGCTGTAGCAATAAAATAAGCCTCAGATTAAACTTTGTTTTTTCATCATTACTAGTATAAATGATGTTTCTTTTTCATTCTTCATCGTGACAAAAGCCAAGCACGTTATTCTTTTTTTGCCCAGCAATTAAGGGGCCAAGAGTTAGGTGATACGCAAGTATATCAAGCCTCCCAAAATATAGCAACATTCCATGGTAAATTTATAAATGTGTCATTTTCAGAAGTTTTCTGCAACGAATTCGACATTTTATTGCAGTTTGTGTTAATTTAAAACTCATAGCCTAAAAGTTAGGCCCACTGCGTTTGTCGGGGGGGGGGGGGGGGGGTAGTCTGTTGACACCTACTAGTGTTGAAATAAAATCTCATCATGTATAATATATTCAAAATGTCAGCCTCCATGGGAGTTTTACAGAATAATTCACATCAACATGGCAGATATTTCTGAGGATAACTTCCGACCAGAATTCAAACTTTATAAGCGCAAATCCCCTCCTCCTTGTCTAGAAGATGTACTTGATACCGATAGTGATGGACATAGGAAGATGGTATGTGTGTAAAATGGTCTTCGGATAATAATTTCTATCATTTCGGTCCCATCTGTTCATAAATATGTAGGATCTAGTATTCTAGTCTAGTAAGACTTAGAGTCTTTACTTTACCTTTACCACAAGGTAAAGGTAAAGACTGCACTGTTATGGTGATAATTGATAAACTTAGAAAAATTAATGGCGATAATAATAATGATAATGATGATTGTGATGCGATTAGACTATGTCAACAATGGTGATGTTGAGGATATGGACAGGAGATGACGATGGGTGATGTTTGATGATGATGACAATGATAAAGATGAGAAAGGAAGGAAAATAGTGATGTCGTGATGATGTTGTCTGTTGATGATGTAATGATGGGTGTTGATGTCACTAAATGCTAATGCAGATTATCATGCAAATGTAATGAATGGTAATACTAATAGATGATTATGAAATTTGATAGATAATAATGATATCAATAATCGTAAAAAGAGTTAAAGACTAACAATTGATTTTTGTTGTTTAAAACTATTGCTTTTATAGAATATAGTTTTACAATATAAATTAGACATCACTTGATCTTAGACCTTACAATATTTCATTGTAGTGATAATCATGGTTGATAATTAATATTAAGTTGACAAAATTATTTATTATATCATTTAGTTTAGTAAATATGATTACCACAATATTAATTACAGTAAAATAATTCAATTTATTTAATTCCAGCTGTACAAACTTGAGCTTTCAGAGCTAGCTCAGGAACAAAACTACCAGAAGAATATATCAGATGCAGCAAGATTTGGCCTTAAAAATCCCAATGAATGGCAGTGCTATGGAGCCCATGGTTTTCCAGGTACATTGTTTTAATGTCTGATTTAATTTGGGGTTTTATGTTTAATGATAAAGAAGGGTTCATCTTTAAATTTGCTGCTATCAGTTTATATTTCTGTAATTATTCCATGGCAAATCAGTTAAGATTTATTGGTTGGAGGGGTTGTTCTTATTCATTGAATTTTGTGTAAATGATCATGCCCTCAAATGTTATAACTTCTGATAGCTTGTAAAGGCCTTCAACGAGGCTGCTGAAAGCAAGATTTTTTTCATTCAAAATGGGAAAGTATGTTTAATGTAATAATAATGTAAACCTGTTTGAATAATACACATTTATATATTGACATGTACTCGCAATAATTTCGGCTTCTGAATCTTTAATGAAAAACATTTAAGTTTGTTTTTCAAAGATGCTTCTGCAAATTTTCATCTCCACTATATTTCCATTCTATCTCTCTCTCTGTTGTTGTTGTTATCATCCTAGTCATATTCATATTTTATATTCTCCCCAATCATCATTGTTGAGCATTCTTGTTTTTTTAAAGTATCGCTTGTAATAGTAAATTCGTTATTTTTTGTTTTGTTACGTTTTCTAAACTGATTTGTACCAAAATACTTTGTTTAGCTGTTTAAGGGTTAGGCTCGACTAGCACATGTGCTATTATCTGGCCCCTTTTACCAACGAATAGTTTCTCTTCTCGTATATTTAAAATCATTGTATGAAATGTATTGCTGTTGGTAAATAAATCAAATCAAATCACATCAAATTTCTTTGTACACTCAGGATTTCAGTTCATCAGGAATCCCTTCCTACCAGGTGCTCAGAGATACTGGGTGAGACGCTGCCTAGCTGACTACCCATGTAAACCCAATGTCACCAACTTAGATACACAGTATCAGAAGGATCAGCTCACCAATCCTTGGCAGGCCAGCAGAAAGAATTTTAGGTATTGTCATCTTTATTAAATATTTTCCTCATTCTTCACCAATCATCCACTGATTTGTCTTATGTCTCTATTTTGATATCTCTGTTCTATATTGTCCCTGTTTTTCTTTTAGTTCCATTATTCTATTAATAGTCTTTTTGCTCTCTATGTTTTATTTTGGTTTCATTTTTATATGTGGAGATACATAACTAGATTGGGATTTGAATGTGTAGATGGAATGGTTGTTCAAGAGAATATTTATTATTCCGATGATTGTAATTTAAATTTAGTTCTTGGTAAAAAGTATCAATTGGCTGATGAAATAAAGGATGAATAGATAAATAATAATGTAACTGCATCTATACAGAAAAATTGCTGTGAGCTGTGACTGTTTCATTACCAAATAATGGGCTTTAAAGTAGTCTTCAGACAATGAATTTCAATCCAACAATATTCTATCACACCTTTTCAACCATGCAGCTCCCCAAATCAGCAGACCCAGGAGAAGCGTCTCATGGACCAGCTGCGATGGGTAACCCTTGGCTACCACTATGACTGGAACAACAAAGTCTACAACGAGGACCAGCACTCCCCGTTCCCCGAGGACCTGGGCCCGATGTCGGCCCTGATCGCTGAGGTACTGGGATACCCTAGGTTCCAGTCTCAGGCAGCCATCGTGAACTTCTATCACATGGACTCTACCCTAGGGGGTCACACGGATCATTCCGAATTTGACCTCACTGCTCCTCTCATTTCATACAGGTAATGTAACTGCTTGCGTTTCATTTCAAGTCCAAAACTCATTTCATATAAATCATTGTATTTTGTTGGCAAGTTATGTGGCAACAATTTTGGTTCCAAAACTGATGATAACATCAATCCTGTGACAAATTATCTGCCTTTGAAGATCAAGATAACAAATTGATACTCATATTTATGAATTGATGATACAACAAACTTCCATCCTTACTTCCTGTAAACTAAACAAGAGTGTTTATATTGTTTTAGACTTGAAAATGAAGGATAATATACAGCGTTACCAGTGTAGAATGATGATCTCTTGCCTAATATTGATCTTGATGAAATTAAACTCATTTGATTCACTATAGTATACATATATGAGTCATTGTTTATATTGAACAATAAAGCTTTGTATGGAAAACATTTCTAAATGAGTAGACAAAGTACTTTCTAACCTTCTGCGAATTTTCTGATTCACAGTCTAGGACAGTCAGCCATCTTACTTGTTGGAGGCAAGACCAAAGCTACCAAGCCACTAGCTCTGCACTTACGGAGCGGCGATGTGATTATACTGGGAGGTGAATCCAGGCTGGCCTATCATGCTGTCCCTAAGATCATGTATGCACAGGAGGAAGGTCGGCTTCCGCAGTGCTTGGGCGCGACTGAAGATCAGCAGCAATGGCAAGAGAGTCAAGAAGAAGTTGTGGTGGGAAGCAGGGTGGAAGTTGGAGATCACCCAGCAGTGGCTTTAAGAGGAGCACAGAAGGGCATGAAGGATGAACATGAGGAATCTGGGGATACAACATATCATGCTTATGGTGGACATTCTGGTAAACTCTCAGGTTCTGGTTACTCAAGTGCAGCTGCATCTGTGGATCAAAGACCAAATGTCCACTCTAAACAGTGTCCTGACCATTCTAGTCCTAACCAGCTATGTGAATCCCAAGGCAGGTACATCAACAGTACAACCCTTGAAGACACTGTATCTAGAACAACCCTGTCCAATTCTGCAGACTCCCAGCATGTTGACCTTGGCGGAGTGGCCAAGAACATTTCAAGTGCAATTAGAGACTTATCCCAAAAGGATCAGTGGAGAGAATTTGAGGAATACCTCAAACATGCCAGGATCAATATCAGTGTGAGGCAAGTGACTGGACCAGGCAAAGGATTTCCTCAAAAGGAAAGTTGTCATGAAGAGAGTGATAGGGATATGGTCCAAAGCAGTAACACAAAGAGAATTAAGATAAGCGACAGCTAACCCAGGACCTTGTGATATAATTTTCACTTCTCAAAACGTATAGTGGATCGATAATGATTGATTTATTCTGATTTATTGTGATTAATAGGTGACCTGACATTTGCTGTAATGACAGGTTAGATAGGGTTAGAGCTAGGATACAATCGGCGTTGGGTAAAGGTTAGGGTTAGGGTTAGGTTATGTGTTATGTCCAAGGTTGAAATTGGGGATTTGCTAAGTGTAGGAAATTGGCCTCAGAGAGATTGTCACTGGAGCATGTTTCAGTAAAATCAAGTTATGAACAAATTACAAAATATCTGATGATGTATGTATCTACATGTTTTAATAAACATGTATGAAAAAAGCTGCTAAAAATGGACTATACTCAGATAGGACAGTGTGGTTTTAGAAGTAGAAACAACCCTGTTGACCTAGGTCATGAGTTTGATGAAAATGATAGTATTTTTCTTTTGCAATCTAAAACCACTATGATTATATACTCTTATTATAGATATAGAGTCATCCAATACTGTTAACCTGTTGAAGACAGTTTCATTTTCCTACCATGTAATTGTGATAGATTTTATTCTGATCATAAAATTGATTAAATATTGACCCAGTCTCCAACAGACTGAAAGCACCCATAAAGTAAGATGTATTGATTATGTTGGACTTCATTTATTTATTGCTAGACTTTTTAGAACACTACAAGAATTTGGTTGACTCAGGAAGTATATTTCTATCAAACAACTGAAATGTATGACAAAGTTCATTCAGGAGTGTACCTTATTGTCATTTCGGTTTTGAGAGAATCGTTCATATTTATAATGTAATGCTAAATTTATGGGTTTTTTCTTTGAAAAGATATGCTAAATGATTGAACCAATCTTGGTGTGAAATGTTTAATCCCTTTGACTTTATTTACGCTGATGCTGTATAAATCTTTTACAAATTAGAAATATGATTGTTTTACAAATAAAATCATATAAAATAATCATTGACTGATCTTATATGAACAATTCGAATCAAGAGAATGGCAACACATATATAAATTATATATTTTGATCATTTAAAAGACTTTAAAATTTTGCTGTGATTTCTGCAAAGAAATTACAGATGCTGCATGTTTCATTTGCTTCAACATTCTCATGATAACACAGCTGTGAGTGGTTTCCCAAATTATGGATTATTTTGTTACCTTTAAAGCCCTCACATTTGTTATTCATCTGCAAAGAAATTACAGGAATTGTTTTTTATATGAACAAACTGTAATAGAGTCACAATAAAACAGTTCCCAAGTAAACGTTATAGTATTTGGTCTCTGCTGGTAAATATTATTTATCACAGTATATCCTTTATGAATTTGGTAAATATTCATTTGGATATTTGAGATTCCAATGTAAATAGATCTTTAGATATGATAACCAAGCTTAATGGCCATGTTTTGTTGAAATAATACATGCTGCAATAATTTTGCTACTCACTTTATAAGCTTCCAAGATATGACATGGATTAAAAACAAAACAAATATAAAAAGTGCTGATGGTTGCATATTTGCTAGATTGTAGATTCAAGTATGATATAAGCCATAAATTTGGAGCTGTCGTGATAAGGGTATTAAATACAGAAGTGTGATTTAGCAATCTTATGACAATGACTCCTCATAAAAAGAATTCAATGAGTTCTTTTTATGTATTTGTCATTGTCATAAATATGAATAAATATGATTGAAACATGTGTTTAGTAATTGTTATAAATAGGATTGCATAACCGTGTACTAGAATGAAAAGACTTCTATGTCTTTCTGTTCTTTGTGGTCTTTCTGTACATTTGTAATTCTTCAGAAATTAAAACAAATATATATATACATGTATTTCTAAAAGAAGGTATTGTGTTTAGAATTAAGTATTTTTCACATATTTTTATTGCCATGATGAAAGGTGTTTCATTAAAACTTTTACACAAATGTATGATATGTTTACTCTCTAATCTGTATCAACAATAGATTGAGGATAGTAACTCTACCCGCATGTTTAATGTATTTGTATTGCAATGACTTATGGGATGGTTCTTATAATAATGATAATAATAATGATGGAAATAATAACAATGATAAAAATAGTAATAATGATGTAACAATAATGATAATAATGATAATATTATTTATACAAAATAATAATAATAATCATGATATTAATGATAATAATATAATAATAATGATATCTGACTCAGCCTCCATATACATTTACAGATTAATGAATATGCATAAATGCATTCATAACAAGAGAAAGAGAAAGAATGAGAGAGAGAGAGAGAGAGAGAGAGAGCAGGGCATGCCGAGAAAGGCAGAAACATGCATGCATGTTGAGACGGACATGAGAGATATGGGACAGATGCACAGAGGGAAAGAGGCAAGAAGAACGAAAGGCCAAACATTCATAGGAAAATCAAACAAATAACTAGTCTAATTAAGAAAGAAAATTAACAAGTAATTATCACAAAACCAACAAGAATATGTGAGATCATTTTAATCTAACAGCCCCTAATATGTGTCCTTTTACGATACCCGTCTGAAATGTCGTAAATCACGAGCAATAATTGAAAAGTCTAGGAGGAGATAGACTAAAATCATGCGTTCTGGGAATAGTATCACTCTTTTTTTTCTTCTTCTTTTTCCCCCGTCAGTTCCACAGGGTTCCTTATTTTCAAAACAAATTCCAATCATATACGGTATATCCATACATTATATACAAATGATTAAAGAAATAATGTCCACACATAATGGATTAACACAGATGATAATCCTCACGACCGAAAACTTTGTGGCAGATAAAAATATTTATGACAAAATTAGTATTTTAAATATATAAGAATATACCAAACATAAAATACATGACCATGTTCATGTTGGCACATTTCCAACACTCTCAAAATATTTTTTAAAGTGAAACCATTTCTTTTTCAATTTATTCTCTCTGAGATTTGTTTGGTATATATATTTTTCCATTTCATAATAACATTTTACATCTGATAAAATTATATCAAATGAAGGTAGTTGATTTCGTAAATTGGCAGAAAATGTCTCTTGTCTTACAACCATCAGAACACAAATGAGTGCATTAGTATTACTGCCGCAAAATCCAAACAATCATTGTATGTCATGTAGATGTATTGGTACATGTTCATGCGGAAACTATACCGAAACTAAAACTGAACATAGTCTGTTTTTCTAGAATAATTCGGTCGCCACACTGACTGTGATGTTTGTTATTAGCTTGTACATTTAGGCTTAAATATTTAATTGCATTGGTTTCGCTATCATTCCTAACACACACAGTTTCATAATTACAAAAAGAACATCATGATCAGAATCGCCTACTGTTCTAAATGTTTTCTGGTAATGATATTGCAGAGAAATTAAAAAAGTGTAATCGAGTATTCATAATGTTGTTCCTTTCTCTCTCTCTCTCTCTCTCTCGCTCTCAATAAACTACAGCAAATGCGTATGAGGTGGTGGACAGGGGCTGCAAGCCGGCAACCCCCCCCCCCATCGTTTCAAGGCACAGGAAAAAATACAATTCACAATGCTAAACAATTTCATCAGGATGGAAATACCATGACGATTCCACCCCTACCGTTTATCAATTGCTGGATACGCCACTGAAAAGAAATGGTTTACCAAAGAACTATTTGCTCCAACCCTATCCTTTGCACATAGGACCGAACTGGCCAAATTTTTAACAAGGAATTTGTCAGGAATATGTCATTCTTGGTGATTGATTTGATTGATCTGATATTATCTGAATGGAATTTCATTTACTTAATTTCTGATCAAACAGATTAAATAAACATACAGCTTAGTACAGCATACTGACGTAGGGTGTGTTTTCCGAAAAGTCATGCAGACTATTTTCATATTTTGTTTCGGTAAAGTTTGCGCATGAACTTGTACAAATTTGTGTAAAGGAGAAAAGAGAGAGAGAGAGGGGGGGGGGGGGAGGGGGGTTAAAGGTCGGTACACTGTTACTTCACCAGCGTATCCACATTTGCAGGGATTAACATAAATAATAAAATAAAACCTATGCATTTCCGTAGTATAGTGGGTGCCTCAGATTACAAGGAAATGGCTTTTAATAGCTAAACGTGATTTGCAGGGGAGTATGGTATGCTAAAAAATGAATGTATTGCGATTAACATGTCGACAACCTAGGTAGATTCTGTAGAGGTGTCGCAGTCGAGTGGTTCAAATAATTGACTGGAAATGCGGAGGTCGTGGGTTCGAGCCCCGACACACACATGACTTTGTTAATTTGGTACCCGGTAGGATGCGAACGTTAAAATGTGGTTTTATTGGGATGTGCTCGCTGGTAAAATGGCGCCTGGCTCGAATACTCCCCAGGGAGCGGCGCATGTGTCCTATCATGTGCGGATTAGCAATTGAATCCAATGACCGCGGTAATGTAAAGAAACGTAATTGTATTAAGCGCTATACATATTAGTATCATTATGTCCCACTGACTAGGAAATATCTCAAATCATCACTCATAGAGATTCGACAGTTATTTCAAAATTCCGATCAAAAAGGGCATTAACTCATATCGGTTAACACAGAGTTAAAGCCTTTCTATAGCTCCCAGCAGAAGAACTGTATATTTGAACGTTGAAAGCAAGGCTTGCTGCAACTTCGTCCCTTTAAAAGAGGAAACACTTGAAAACGAATGACCACAGGAAATAAGCTGAAGAATTTGTAGGAAGTGAAAGATTTTATCATGTTGAGAGCTTTGTGTTCAAGTGAGATTAAATTATATACCGAAAGTGAAAGATTGTATGGCGAGTCATAATTGCTTTATTTAGATGAATAGTCTTACAGCAATTGAGCATTATATACACAAAGTATAAGATTTTCTCATCGAGTTGTGCTGGTAAGTATGATGTCAAGATGCATTAATTTAAAAATCGAAGGCTCACGAAATTGAAGTTTAGAGAGAGAAAGGGGAGAAGACGAAGAACACACAGACAAAACAAGTCTCTTTGTTTTATCATCACTGAAAAGTAACATCTTTCAGCGTTTTTGTTTTTGTCATGCTTTATTTTCTATATAAATTGTATAAATTGTGTCCTCATTTTGCCATTGTCAATTATCATCAAACACCATTATAGAATAGAAACAGAGATTTGTTTGTTCACCGTCACTTTATCCGAATGAAGAGTCTTTTAAATGATCGAGCGTTAAGCGGATGACATGATTTATGCAAACAGAATTCAGTTTATTGATGATTATGCGCCACTCTTTTCTCTCTCGCTCTCTCTCTCTCTCTCTCTCTCTCCATCTATCATGACTTCTCCTCCACGTCTTTTTTTCAATGTTTCTCTCTCTCTCTCTCTCTCTCTCACTCTCTACTCTCTGTTCCGTATAGACATTCTACTGAACATTATGATTTATTTCGATTTTTTGTTTTTACATCAGAAAGTCCACCCCAAAAATAAGTTTGTTTCGATAGAGGCAGAATAATAAGAAAATCAGGTGAGTGAAAGTTTGAGCAAATTCTGAATGAAAATAAGAAAGTTATGAATTATTGAAGTTGTGATCAATCAAACACAAATTGGCAACTCTATGACGTATCATGCGAGCTCAACTTCCATTTGCTCAGTACTAAAAAAATCTAAAATTTTCATTTTCCCTCAAGAAAAATTTCAACCATACATGCACCCTAAATATAATAATTGCAAATATGTTTCTATACTCCCCCTGCAAGGAACAAATATATATTCCGTCATCAATAACGAAGAAAACATGATTTTATGGAATATTATGCACAAAGCAAATGAAGGAGAGCTCGTATAATAAGTCACAGAGTTGCCAATTTGTATTTGATTGATCACAACTTCAATAATTCATAACTTTCTTATTTTCATTCAGAATTTGCTCAAAATTTCACTCACCTGATTTTCTTATTATTCTGCCTCTATCGAAACAAACTTATTTTGGGGTGGACTTTCCCTTTAATATTTGACTTGATTTGGATTTGTTCCACGAAGCATGTTGTATAAGTAGGCTATAATAATTAACATGACTTTGTGGATCGGACAAGCTGCGTAAATAACATGCATATATACTTATACATGTATTTTGTTTTCTGATACAACGAGAAAGCCATGACAAAAAGTGACAAACAATTATTATCCGAAGATATACCGATCGTTTTTTTATACAATATTACAGATGTTATTTAATTATATCAATTGATTACAAATATCATCTTTCAAAATTGTAAGTTGTCGTTTGGTTGTAGTGAGAGAAGGAAATATTGGAAAAAGCTTTTTCCACAGCAATACTAGTATCTTTCATTGGTACTTAATACTTAAAATGAGCAATAGCTTTCAAATTTCACCTTTCTTTATACATTGTAAAAAATATTCTGCTTGTAACAGTAGTATAGTAATAATAGAAAGAGTAGTAGTTTACAAAATAGATGAAAATACTAATTTTTTTTTTTTTTCACCGCGCATTTTCATACTTTTTCACAAATATATGCATATTTTAGTAAGTGCATTGTGTAATTAATCTTGCTGCCAATAAGACAAATAAGTATATAGCCTCCATGGTGACAAGATATTGTATTGCATAATATAAACAGACAAGTCACTCCCTTCGAGACAAAAATTGCAATTATTTAACAGTAAGATAATACTTCGCTAAAAAGCAAATAATGGAAATACGTTGGCGTTCGTCTTGTGACCAGCGCATCTATATTCTTCGCGATTTGTGCATTTCATGTAGCATTTTTGTTCTTCAATGATACAATTTACAAATTAATATATCATCAATGTAGGCGATAGTTATAATTCTTTTTCGATATTTTTCTCCCCTCTAGCTAATCACATATCATGCACTTTCTATATAAAAAAGAAGTAGCTGAAAATATCGTCGTTTTATTGCACTTACAACAATATCAATATATTTATGTTTGCAGCCTCTAAGTACATGTAGCAAGTTCATAGATTACTTCACAACACTGTGAAATATATTGGGCACAAGCTTTGGAATTCCTCGTCCTTTGAACTAAAAAATGCCCATCATAACATTCTTTTAAAAGAAAACATACAAAATATATCATCAGTACTTACTGGCCTGACCATTGATTATCTCCTTCCTTCATTTTTTTCCTCTTAGTTAGTCCTCAGTGTCTCTTTTGTGATGTACTATGATGTCATTTATCTTTAATGTATTCAATTGCACTTTTGTGTCTGGTTTTCCTATGTTTTGATGTCACCGTTTTTATGATTTTGAATGGAATGGGGGGGGGGGGAAAGCTGCTAAAAAACATATTGATAGAAAACGTTTTTCAACCGTGCATTTCGAGTGGGGAAAAAATGCAGTGTATAGATACTTACAAACATAGTAAATATTTTATACACCATATCTTACGTGTAAATCATAGATGACAGGTGATGCAAGGTTTAACATGTATAAATATGTAATTGGCATAATTCTGTCTTACGAATACTGAAACAATTACCATTTTTAAGTCATTTTAAAGAGCATGCGCTCTCATACTCCAAGTTACCTCATGGAAGAAAAAAATTACACACCATTGCTGTGACGAAGGTATACAAAAACAACGACAACAATAACAAGCTTTATAATATTAATAATGATAATAATAACAATGATAATGTTACAGTAATAATTAAATACTTATTAGCGCTCTCGAAGAGTACTTAAGTTGATAAACGTAAAAAGTCAAATCTTTGTACAAATTACCAAAAAGTATATCTATATCCTAGAAAGAGTCGATCGAAGGATCTTAAAATGCGATCCAGCGTTTATACCACTAACGTTATATTGGTTATTAATTGTGACATATCCTTCTAAAAATATATATAACTGTGAAGCCTTTCACATTGAATATTTGGTGACATACACAAATATCGGGGTGCTTCAACCAAATCCAAGCATTGCTCGTCTGCACATGCAGTATACTGCAGTGGCGACAAATGTGTTTGAATTTTTGACGAATAAAAAAGAAAGTACAACATTTTGGCGAATATCGTACTTGCGATACTATACGTGTATGTGCATAGATTTAAGATATATTTTCATAGTTACGATTTAAAATCGGATATTATAAAGCTATTGCAATAAAAGAGTACTTTCAGGCTTTTTGTTTCAGCGAATATATACGAGTAAATAAGTATCAGCCTCAGTGTACATAAAAAGCATCATCGACATTCAGCATAGATATTTACAAGCTTGTTCGCTTAATAATACAGAATATGAAATATACAAAATGGCATCATTAGTTTCTTTCTTTAGTTTGTGTTATCCTTTGGAAGTACCGCTTGGATTCTACGCCTTTCTTGCTCTGAGCTAGCACGAGTTGTTCCCCGTCGATGTACCTGGCGAACACGGGCTCGCTTCCATCGACATCATCCATCATTCTGATGACGAGCTTCTCGTCTTCCCACGATGCCTTCATCTCCCTGTCCGACTTCTCCCAGGGGATGTTTCCTTTAAACACCTCGTCGACCTTGAAGCGCATCTCTTGCTTGTTCAACGGCGTCCTGGTCGCGATTTCGAACGTGTCCCCGCCATCCTGTTTGATGTCAACAGTAGGGTTCACTTTACATGCCATTGTCCTGTGTACCAGTCCGACACCGCATGCTTTCAAGAACTTGTCCAGGTTCTCACTGCTCACCAACTTCCAAGAGCCACTGAGATCGACCGACACCATGTTGGTGGGGTAATTCCTTCGGGAAATCCTCTACGGGTTCCTTTAACGGTTATTCGTGATTACCATAAGTAATCAAATCGCGTACAGAAACTACCATGTAAGACTGAGTGGGAGTATAATTCAAAAGTTGGTAAACAATCCAACTGTTATTCTCACAATTCAACTTTGCCGGGTCAATTTGTGTGTGTGGGTTAAACAGTAACTGTTGACTGGTGTAGGAGTCTTGTACGAACAAAAAAAGAAGCATATATACTTTGCAATGGCTTCACCTGATCTGTCCTCCTATAGTCGCCTATTGACATTTAAATCCACCTTTGTGATAACTTGACGAGGTGTACAATCATTATTTGTTCCGGTTCAACATGAAAGGTTTGCCTACCCGTTCAATCGCCACTAAATCAATAATCAACTCAAACCGTCAACAAAACTCGACACAGCGACAGTACTTTCTCCTTTTGCCTGTACCTCCCGTATTATCGAGGATATAGGTGTTGTGCTAGAAGCGGGAAGCATGTGCATATAAAATACATTTCCAATCATGCTGAGCTAGTGCGCATAATGAGGCTCGATGGCATTGCATGGTCTGTACTATGCAAAGCTGGTGGATCTATCGGGGTAAATTTTCACCTAGTGCGATGAGTTGCAGTACGTGCATCGCATGATATGCTGTCCCTCGACGAGTGTCGTGCAGTGGCTTATGTCACAATCGCAACTGCAATCGAGATGCTAACGCCGAAGCATAATGAGTATGACGATGAACTGCCTATATGAAACGTTATTCTGTCTACTTGGGTGAATTAATGAGCTTATCCGGCCGATCGCCGGGACACGCGACTCCGCGTGTTTTCCTGTCTCATGCAGGACATGTGATGTACTAATATTTGTACACGTCCATTGTTACTAGATTTTTTTTCTTCTTCTATTGTATTACAGAGTCAATTTTGAAGGAAAAAACGGGGTCGCGGACAATATACAACGATTGTTATTGTACAAATATAGTAACTTATATTGTCAGGGACAGGGGCGGGTCCAGGGTTTTGTAAAAGAGGGGCACAATATATTCCATAATACTCTTCTGACAAAAAAGGGTCATTAGAGTCGGGTGCTTTAATTCCTTCACCGAAAAGGGTCGGGGATATGCCACGCCCCCTTATCCGTCAATGGTAGGGAAATGGGCACCCCTGTGTTGCTAGTCTGTACTAGCTTGTGATGGTGGGTGAATATACCAAGTGACACACTATAGTTAACAAAGCAAGAAGTAAAGGTCCTCAAATTATTATAGCATATATGAAAATTGATTCTTTGATCCAAACGAAATGTTAAAGAAAATAAAAATTATAAGAATATTATATACATTTTATATATATACATATTTAATTTAATATATCTGGAAAAATAAAATTGAAACCGGTCATATAATGAAGAACAAAATTCTCCAGGATTTTTATTTCAAATGTTTTAACTATAAGTGTATATACAAATATTATATAAAAAATGAAGAATTATATGTAATTGTTATATTTTTGTGTGTGTTTTCGTGTCGTTGTGTGTGTTGTGAGTGTGTGTGTGTGTGTGTGTGTTTGTGTATTAATACAGTATATTACTCTGAAGAAAATAAATCATTTTTCAGCAGCACTATTCTTTGGATTTAATGTTCTTCCTCTCTGTGAAGTGAAGGGCGCCAGCAAAAAGTTGTGTGATTTATACTAAGAGTTTTTTTCAATCGAGTAGGCAAGTTCCAAGACTATGGGTACTCATAAGAAACGGTATGAAAGTGTAATATCAATCAAATATTAACGGTTGATAAATTAAATTATTCTATCGAATTGTTTAGACTTTGAATTAACAGGACGATACTTTGTTGAAGAATTGTAGCTAGAAATAATTAGCTTTTCACAATTTTTTATTTCACCTAACGAACACCACCGACATCAGCAACAAAAGTACTACTACTATTAGTACTACTACTAATAATAATTATGATAAGATGATGATGATTATGATGATGATGATATGAGCAAACATATCGAAGACTCACAAATTAATTGCAGTTTCCCTGTACACCACAATAGTAAATATCATGTAATGGTGTTGCTTCGACATATTCTTATAGGATTTTTTCCTTCAAAATGTATCCTTCACGAAGAGTGATCCACACTTGATGAGACTTTATTTAATTTTGTACTTATTACAATTGTTCATTTATCCATCTACAGATCTTTCTCTCCGATAATTCTTACAAAGCAAGTTCAGCGTTTTGGAAAACATGATTTAAAATCATTTAAGAAAATTGCATTTCGCGCCAACTCTATCAATTATTTATCAGTCCCCCTTCACCTCAATTATTTGCAAATAATGTACTAGCGTTATAAGTATTGCAAAGCCCTACTTAATAAATGTATTGTTTTTCAAACACTTTTAACAATGACATAGACAAAAAGTCAAAATAAGTACTTGCCCTTACGTTGTTCTCATTCGCATGCTCAGACATTAAAGTTATTATGAAATCAATCAGATATGTTATTGATGGTCTTATTCAAAAGTAATACTAAATACGGACATGACGAAACAAATTGACATATAAATAATACATTATTATACACCCTTCAAACACTAAACAATATTGGGTACATTTTGCCTATATAGCACGAGGTTAATTATGTATCCAACCAACTTCGGGCATTTCTATACCCAACTTGAGTAATATATTGTCCAAATAAGGTCAAAATATAGAATAGTTACTTTAAAATAGGCGAAATATTGATCAAGATGTTGTTTTTTTAATGCCCAAAATTTGGTGGATACTTAATTACCCACATGGCCAATTTTACCCAGTATTTTCAAGAGTAAACAACAGCCTTATATATAAGTATATAATCTACATAAGATTTTGCTTTCCATTAGGGAAATCTCTTTCGGATATCATTTGAATATGAAGAAGACATCTTGGTTTAAACGGAATGCTCAGATGTGTTTCCGAGATATAAATCAACCTAGCATTGAAATCTGGACAAATCCTTTTTGCATTAGGAATAATATTTGTTATGATATCATGAAATTATAAACAGACACTATGAAAAACATTTTTTAAATAAGCACACAAATGGCGTAAAGAAACTATGAAGGTAGAGTAGTGTACAGATATTGAGACGCTTCTCGATTATTTGAGATATTTTCATATGTTAAAAAGCACCTATTGCCTTGTACGATTATTTGAAAATGGTAAATACTAAAATAATAACTATAATGATAAGAATATTATTAATGGTGACGATAATTACGAAGAATAATGGGTAACATTATTATTTATGATAATGGTAATAAAAATAAGAACAATAACAAGAAGAACAAAAACGACAAGAAGAAGACTAGAACTGCAATTTATTAGAACGATATGCATGCATCGACGCCCCTGTTTTTATGTGGCAGATGAAAGAGCATCTCGTGGACGATCTAGAGCAATGTTAGTAGTCTGTAGCATTTAGCAAAGTGGAGATAGGAAGGCCGAAAGAAAGACCGGCGTGAAGTTAGAAAGATATTCGATATTCGATATTCGATATTCAAAGTGCGAATATCAAGCCAGTTTGATATTCGGATTTTCGGATATTCAAAATATCACAATTCAATGCACATAAACATATCTGGTATAAGCCTGTTTTAGGTACCCGACCCCTATTGACCGGGACCATCATCTGTTGTCTGATAGATATGAATGCAACAAACATTTTGATATGAATTTTATCCCGGTCAAAAGGGGATAAGTCACATATCTTATCCAATTAAAATACAGGTATCTGTAGCACATCATAATTCCATACATATGCATATATCGGATATATGGGCCTTTTTTAGGTACCCATCCCCTATTGACCGGGACCATCATCTGTTGTCTGATAGATATGAATGCAACAAACATTTTGATATGAATTTTATCCCGGTCAAAAGGGGATAAGTCACATATCTTATCAAAAAAAGATACATGACTCTCTTTAAATATTCTATACACATGCATATATCGGATATATGGGCCTTTTTTAGGTACCCATCCCCTATTGACCGGGACCATCATCTGTTGTCTGATAGATATGAATGCAACAAACATTTTGATATGACTTTTATCCCGGTCAAAAGGGAATAAGTCACATATCTTATCCAATTAAGATACAGGTATCTGTAGCACATCATAATTCCATACATATGCATATATCGGATATATGGGCCTTTTTTAGATACCCATCCCCTATTAACCGGGACCATCATCTGTTGTCTGATAGATATGAATGCAACAAACATTTTGATATGAATTTTTTCCCGGTCAAAAGGGAATAAGTCACATATCTTAACCAATTAAGATACAGGTATCTGTAGCACATCATAATTCCATACATATGCATATATCGGATATATGGGCCTTTTTTAGATACCCATCCTCTATTAACCGGGACCATCATCTGTTGTCTGATAGATATGAATGCAACAAACATTTTGATATGAATTTTTTCCCGGTCAAAAGGGAATAAGTCACATATCTTAACCAATTAAGATACAGGTATCTGTAGCACATCATAATTCCATACATATGCATATATCGGATATATGGGCCTTTTTTAGATACCCATCCCCTATTGACCGGGACCATCATCTGTTGTCTGATAGATATGAATGCAACAAACATTTTGATATGACTTTTATCCCGGTCAAAAGGGGATAAGTCACATATCTTATCCAATTAAAATACAGGTATCTGTAGCACATCATAATTCCATACATATGCATATATCGGATATATGGGCCTTTTTTAGATACCCATCCCCTATTGACCGGGACCATCATCTGTTGTCTGATAGATATGAATGCAACAAACATTTTGATATGACTTTTATCCCGGTCAAAAGGGGATAAGTCACATATCTTATCAAAAAAAGATACATGACTCTCTTTAAATATTCCATACACATGCATATATCGGATATATGGGCCTTTTTTAGGTACCCATCCCCTATTGACCGGGACCATCATCTCTTGTCTGATAGATATGAATGCAACAAACATTTTGATATGACTTTTATCCCGGTCAAAAGGGAATAAGTCACATATCTTATCCAATTAAGATACAGGTATCTGTAGCACATCATAATTCCATACATATGCATATATCGGATATATGGGCCTTTTTTAGATACCCATCCCCTATTAACCGGGACCATCATCTGTTGTCTGATAGATATGAATGCAACAAACATTTTGATATGAATTTTTTCCCGGTCAAAAGGGAATAAGTCACATATCTTAACCAATTAAGATACAGGTATCTGTAGCACATCATAATTCCATACATATCCATATATCGGATATATGGGCCTTTTTTAGATACCCATCCCCTATTGACCGGGACCATCATCTGTTGTCTGATAGATATGAATGCAACAAACATTTTGATATGACGTTTATCCCGGTCAAAAGGGGATAAGTCACATATCTTATCCAATTAAAATACAGGTATCTGTAGCACATCATAATTCCATACATATGCATATATCGGATATATGGGCCTTTTTTAGATACCCATCCCCTATTGACCGGGACCATCATCTGTTGTCTGATAGATATGAATGCAACAAACATTTTGATATGACTTTTATCCCGGTCAAAAGGGGATAAGTCACATATCTTATCAAAAAAAGATACATGACTCTCTTTAAATATTCCATACACATGCATATATCGGATATATGGGCCTTTTTTAGGTACCCATCCCCTATTGACCGGGACCATCATCTCTTGTCTGATAGATATGAATGCAACAAACATTTTGATATGAATTTTATCCCGGTCAAAAGGGAATAAGTCACATATCTTATCCAATTAAGATACAGGTA